GCCATAAGCACGGGGCTCTTTAGAAAGGCGAGTGACGAGAGAGCAGGCGCTCTCGGCCCCACAGCTCAAGTGCCTATCAATCAATCTCCTCGCATGACTGAATGGGAAGAGAGGTGAAATTGAAGGGTTCGCCCCCCCCCCTCCATAGACGAGATGAAGCCATCTTAAGGGGGCTGTTTTCTTCCACTTCCACCTGGCGAACGGTGTGTTCCATGCTAGCGTTGCCACCTATCCAGTGTGGCACAGTGGTTAGAGTGTCATACTAGGACCTGGGAGACCAGGGTTCGAATCCCCCACTCAGCCATGAAGCTCACTGGGTGACCTTGAGCCGCTTGCTGTCCCCCCCCCCCCCGGGCCTAACATACCTCACAGGGTATTAAATGAAGACGGAGTGACCCACATACACCACCTTGAGTTCCTTGAAGAAAAATGAGGGATATCAATGCAATAAATATAAGTACAGTGGTACCTTGGGTTACATACGCTTCAGGTTACGGACCTCCGCTAACCCAGAAATAGTACCTCGGGTTAAGAACTTTGCTTCAGGATGAGAACAGAAATTGTGCTCCGGCGGCTTTAGGTTAAGAACAGTTTCAGGTTAAGAACGGACCTCCGGAATGAATTAAGTACTTAACCGGAGGTACCACTGTATCTTCTTGTTAATCCAGTAAAAGTACAGTATATTTGAAATTTGAAACCAAGGGATTTACCAGGTTCACAGATCACATTATTTATTTGCATCCCGCCTTTCAAGGTGGCGTACATTGTTCTCCTGCTCCCAGTCCATGACCCCTTCCTGTGAGATAGGTTAGGCTGAGAGTGAATGACTGGTCACAAGGTCACCCAGTAACCTTCATGGCTGAGTGGGAGATTAGAACTCTGGTCTCTCAGGTCCTAGATTGGCATCTTAACCACTGCACCACATTGGCTCTCATTAAATCAAAATGTCAGCCTAAGTATAGAGCAGGGTAGGCTGGAGACCTCTGGCTCATGGGCAAGACTCAGTCTCCCAGACCTCTCCATTTGGCATGCAGAATCACCCCCCCCATCCAGGTGCCTCTGCCCCACACCTGATGTCAGGTGTATGGCAGGTAGAGATGCATCCTCAGGAAGCTCAACCCAGCAGAAAGCAGGATGGACCTCCTAAGAGTGATCTGATGCACATGAAGTTCAGTCCTGCTTAGTTTCCTCTGGGAATGGCCTGGTGTGCCTGAAGCTTGTAGGACTGAGTTCCTACTCATTTGCACCCTGCAGAAAGCAGGATCAGAACATTAGAAGAGCTGGCTGGATCAGGCCAATGGCCCATCGAGTCCAGCATCCTGTTCTCACAGTGGCCAACGTGATGCTTGTGGGAAACCTGCAAGCGGGACATGATCACAAGAGCCTTCTCCCCTCCCATGGTTTCCAGTAAATGGTACAGTGGTACCTTGGTTCTCAAATGCCTTGGTACTCAAACAACTTGGAACCCAACCACAGCAAACCAGGAAGTAAGTATTCCGGTGTACAAACTTTTTTCGAAAGCCAAACGTGCTCCGTTTTGAGTGTTACGCCTCCGTTTTGAGTGTTATGCTGAGGTCTATCTGTTTTTGCCATTTATTTTGTGTTTTTGTCCAAGGGCCTCGTACCCATGGAGGGTGGGAAGGCCTTATTCATTTTTTCAGCCTGCCTCCAGAATGTGCAAGTGTTTAAATTAAGCAGATGCTCACCTATGAAGCCCAATGGCAGAAATTTTGAGTTTATGCACTGTTGGATATTAGGTTTTCTAGGTGTGCAGTGACCAGCCTCCTGTCTCTTTCTTTCCAATCAACCAGGAACCAGCTAGACTTCTCAGTTTTGACTAGTTTAGAATGTCTCCCGCTCTTTCATCAGTAAGATATTTATTCTTCTTCAAAAGATATCTGTTTGCCAGCAGTGGTGCTACGGACGATCCTCTTATTGACGGCTTATTTTGGGGTGTGTTTGTCAGCTTTGCGTGGCGTATCTTGCAGTTGTACTTTGCACAAACACTAATTAGACAGCCATCAACACTAGGGGCCAAAGGCTTACTAACAATGCAACAGTGATAGCCGAGTCTTAATTGGCTGAGTATAATTGCCATTAGGCAATGATAAGGACATCTGGGGCTCTGGAGAGAGATTGATTTTGGCTTGGTGACTCGAGCTTTCCGCAGCTTTCCAATTTTTATTTTTATTTATTTATTTATTTATTTATTTTTTCTCCGGGAAGTTGCCACTTCGTTGGGATAACACCCAGCTCCGTTCTGCCTCTTGCAGAGTCAGCCTGGCTGAAGCACCTCCTTTGTTTGGTTCTCATTCGCGCCTCGGTCTCTGCCAGCAGGCTCGAGAAACTGGATGCATAAGAAGCAGAGCCAGGGGTCTTCAACGCGGTGCCTGCGGGCGCTAGCGTGCTCACCAGCACCCCCTGTGGCTCCTGCAAAAGGTCTCCGTAAACATCCCCTCAAACATCCACAATGCATGAGCAGCTCTCTGCTGTTGCTGCTCAGTTCCTGCTTTCACTGGCTCTGCCTCACAAGTCAATATGTCACGGCAGCCATTTTGTGATGTGTGACGGCGCCCCCCCCCACGCATGGCAGCCATTTTGTGACTGGCTCCTATAGCCCTTTATCAAAATTCCAAATGTGCCCACTGGCCTCAAAACAGTTGGCGACCCCTGAGTTATAGCACGTCGCTAAATATGGGCCAAGCATACCCCTTCACGAGAGACCGATGACGGCACTTCCTGGCATTTCTTCTTCAGTTCAAAAGCTGCCACGTGGTTGGTGGGGATTTTGATGAGCTTCTCCTCCCCACTTCCCCAACACTATCTGTCCTGTCAAAATCTGAGGTCCCTCCTCCAAGAAACAGCTTCCTTTAAGTAAAAGCTTAAACTTCAGGAGGCCTGACCACACAACCCTTGTGTCTTGAATAGCTTGATGCTGCGGCATCCTTTGCTGGAAAACAAAATTGAGATGCCGAGAACTCCCAAGGGAACCTTGGAATCAGCGAGAGGCTGGATTTGGCATCTCAGAAAGGGCTGGGAAGCTCTACTCTTGTCCTTGTCCTAACTGGTCCTGAGGAAGGAAGCAGCATAGACACAACAGAATGGCCTCAGCACTTCTTGTCAGGTTTTATGCTCCTTCGGGTAGGCCTGGAAGAGACTGTTTGTCCGCAGTCCTGGAGGGAAAACCTGTGAGACTTGGGGAACATCTGGCTCGCAAGTAGTATTCAGCCTGCTAGAGTTCCCCATTTGGCCTGTCAGACCATTCCTCCTCTCCCCACAAACAACATCTCCATTATACCTGATGTCATATGCCTCACCCATCTGTCAGAGTTGGACCATGGGGTGGGGAGATAAAGATCTGGCCCACCGGACCAAAACTATCCCCCAACCCCTATTTAAGAGTCACCACCATGCTTGCTTATGTTGGTCATCCGTTCCAACTGCGTGCAACGGAAGCTCTTCTGTGACACTCTCCTTTTGAGTTTTCCCCTCATTTTCTTTCATCGCATCCAAGCAGAGGGAGCTGCTTCCAAGTCATAGAGAGCTAGGGGTCTGTTTTGCTTCCTGTACATAAGGATGGAAAAAGAGACCCCTTCTGCGTCAGGCCAGTGGCCCATCTAGTCCAGCCTCTTGTTCTCACAGTGGCCAAGCAGATGCCCCAATGGGAAACCCACAAGCAGGACCCAAGTGCAAGCTTATTGTTGCGTCCCATCCCCCCGCCGCCGTCCCGTGGCATTGCCACCTCCCAGCATGGCAGAACTTGCATCAGCAAAATGGCTGAGCTTTATCTTAATCACCCTAGTGATGCTTGAGGTAGATGCAACATCTGTTAGGTACAATGCTGTATCAAGAGTTCTGAGGATTTTCTAGGTCCTCCGAGTCCAGCATCCTGTTCTCACAAGGCCAGCCAGATACTTATGGAAAGCCCGCAAGGAGGACCTGAGTACAATAGCAACATTCCCCTACGTTAAGAAAGGAAAGCCAAATAGGGATCTCTGCGTTTTGCCTAAGGGTAGAACTGAGCGACAGCTGGTTGCTGTATTTGCAGAGGCGGGGGACCAGCCTCCCCAGGAGTCCTAGGGGCAACTTGACACCTGCAGAGCTCCTGAAAGTCTGCTACTGTTTATCGCTTTCTGCCTTAAGACTGTTAAAACACGCAGGCAAGGAAGGCTTGAGCAACAGGCCTTTTTCCGCATCTAGTCTAACAAAAGAGTCCTGCGTAACTCAAAAGCTTGCACACTGTTTTGTGACTCTTTTGGTTGCCTAAGAAAGGCATATTCCTCTATTAATAGTCATCACAACTCTACTCTGTTAAGAGGCCTGCTGAAAATGTTTTCGTTTCAGGAAACCTGTCTAGACAGCTGATTTAGGTGCATTTGCTCCAACTTTTTATTGGTTTTATCTTGTTTTTTTAATTGATGTTTTTATGTATATTTCTCTTTGGGTTACCTTTTGTCACATGTTGTGTATACTGTAATGGGATTTCTGCACCGCTTGGATAATCCCCACCCCATCCCCCGAGCAGGCAATATATAAATTTCCTAAATAAATAAACAATATGGCGTTCGGAGGTTTTCTAATAGGACAGCATGGCTACCATTTTTGTACCCATTTTTTGTGTGTATCACAAGTCTGGAGAGATGCTGCTGAATTCCCATCTCCCCCAGCCATGGGCCACACTTGCAGGGGCCGACTGGAGTTTCTCTTCAGCAACACCTGGAAGGCAAAGTTCCCCTACACCCGGCGTTGCCCTTTTGTTCACTTGTGAACGCAGCTGGTAGCATGAGTTTAAAAAAAGAAAAGGAAAACCAAGAGCAGTGCTGCCTCATTTGCAAAAGGGTCTTGTTCCTGTTGAAGTGGGAGGCCGAGAGGAGGAAATGGTGGATGGGAAGAGAAACACCTTGCTTTTGCCCACGACCACCGAGTTCCTTCTCCGTTGGCTCCCACTGACTCCGACGCTTGCTTTTTTTTTTTAACCCGTTTCCCGCTTTCCCTTCCAGCTACACGTCAGGGGATGTGAAGCTGTGGGACACTCGCACCTGGGACTACACCGCTCCTGCCCTGGACCCTGAGCGCGGCTTGGCCCAACCCGGCCCCCGGCCGCATGCCTCCTTTGTGAGGATAAACAGCTCCCTGGCAGCGGCAGCTTACGAGGATGGTAAGTTAACAGCGACTCTTTCCTAATATTGTTTTCTAAAAGCGTCCCCCCCTCCCAGCAGCTGCGCCCAGCTTTTGTGTGCTCGCGTGTGTCTCTGCGACAGCGACTCTAATCCTTTCTGCACACAACGTGTGCGTGTGTGTGTGCTCACACTTGCTTTTATGTGGGGAAAAGTTGGCTGGTAACCCTCGGTGCATTAGGAGGCCTTGGATCGCGCTGCCCATTAAAACGGCTGCTTTTAATTCCTCCTGGAGCTGCCACTCGGGGTAACTGTGCCAGGCTGCAGCCCAGCCAAACTCGTCTTGAGCAAACAACTTGTTTTGGCTCTCTCTCCCTCCCCCCCCCTTTTCTTGAGACGCAGGGAGATCAGCTCACGAGACAAAAGAGCGAACCAGATATTGTTTGATGAATGCAAATCCCGGGCCTTCTGTCTCGTTTCCCTTCCTCTCCCCGTCCCCTGCCCCATCTCTGGTGTGCTGAGCACACAGAGAATATATAGCAAAAGAAAGTCTGTGGATCAGCTTTGATCTGCCTTTCCTTCTTGGACAGCAAGAGAAGGTGGCTGGCCTGCAAAAGAAATGCACGTGTCTGTGGCCAAAAATGTGTGTTGGATGCACACTTGCAGAGGGAGACAAGATTGGGGGGGGGGGGCGAGTCTCTTTCTGTGGGATCTAGAGGTCCTCTGTTAGGCATGTTTTCCAAATGAGCAAGCGTGGTTGTTGCCGGAAGTAGCATGGCCACCTGTGCAGCTGCACTCAAAAAGGCCTGTCCAAACTTGTTGCGTTGATCATGTTTAACATGCAAAGGATATTATGACTGTTTATTATTTTTGTCCTCCTAGCAGCTCCTGGGCTGGTCGTTCTGATTTGCACTTTACAGCGAGAGGGATAGAAAGGTTGGGGGTAACGTAAACTGGTCCCAAGTTGTTAAGGGCTTTATACAGATCCTCCAAGTGCCCCTATTTTCCAGGGACAGTCCCGGATGTACAGAAGCCATCCTGGTTTCTGATTTGATCCTGGAATGTCCCACTTTTCCTTAGGATGTCCCTGTTTTCATTGGAGAAATGTTGGAGGGTATAGAGCTATGCAGCCTCCAAGCCAAGGAGATAAGTAACTATACAACCTTTAGAAGACATCTGAAGGTAGCCCTGTATGGGGAAGTTATTTAATGTTTAATGTTTCATTATGTTTTTATACATGTTGGAATTCACCTAGGGTGGCTGGGGCAACCCAGTCAGATGGGTGGGGTATATAGAACAGAACAGAACAGAATGGGCATATTCATCTGAGAAATGTTGGAGGCTATGCTTTATATGCTAATAGTAACACATGCCTACTAGTTTGCTCCCAGACACAATTCAGAGTGATGATAGTGATAACCTTGTAAAAAACTCAATGGCTTGTGCCCAGGACACCCAAGGGACCACATCCTCCCTCCTTCCAAAGATCAGAAGGAGAGACCCTTCTCCAAGGACTGTTGAGGATGATTAGCGGTGGGGCCTTTTCAGTGGCTGCACCAATACAGTGGAATAGCTTTCACCATAAAGCACAGATGGACCCCTCTCTGGCTGCCTTTTGCTGATGGGTAAAAACATTTTTGTTCCACCAAGCTTTTGCCTGCTAAGGCCATTTTTACTTGCTTCCTCTGAGGTGGTTGCTTTTCAAATGGATTATAATGTGTTTTATTTGTTTAAAAGATTTTATCTTTATTTTCATTTTTACACTAATTTCAACCTGCCATCCATGGTGCAGTGCCATTCAAATGGCAGGATATACCATATTTTTCTGTGTATAACACGACCACATGTATAAAACGACACCCTATTTCCGGAAGCCCCAAATTAAGAAGTTTAAAAATTAAGAAAGTTGTTGAACTTTGCAAAAAGATTGTTGAGCATCTTTTGTAAGTTTCCTGGGCGGTTGTTGAGCTGTTTTCCGACGATCCTCCGCTCTGGCTGATGGCACTGTCACCGTGTTCCTGAATGGGCAAGCAGCCCATGTATAAGACGACCCCAAAATTTTCTTATACTTTAAAAATGCGGTAATATATTTTTATATACAGTAGGTAAGTCAAAATAAAGTGTTGGATCTCTCCCCCCCCACCACCACCATTGTAAGTTCTGTAGTTATTTCATACTACTGTTTAAGCCTGCCAGGCACTGTGTTACTGAACTGTGGCCATTAAATAGATAACATTTGACCAATAAAAAAACTAATTGTTTAAGAAACCTAAGCTCATAATGTATGAAGAGGGCCTAAGTCAGCTTTCCGCAGCCTCTCTCCTCCTAACGCCTTGGACTACAAAACCTATGGTCCCTTGCCAGCACAGCCAATGGTCAGAGATGATGGGAGGTATAGTCCAAAAACACCTGGAAGTCCTTTCCCAATGGCATATAGGAATAGAGGGAGCTGCTTTATCCCAAGTCTGTTTATAGGTCCATCTAGCTCCATACTGCCTACCTTGACTGGCAGCAGCTTTCCATGATTTCAGACCAGGGTCTCTCCCATCTTTACCTGAAGACGATGGGGATTGAACTGGGACCTTCTGCCAGCAAAGCAAATGCTCTACCCACTTGAAGCTGCAGCCCTTCCCCTGTTTTCCTTCCCACCCCATTTTTCCTTTTTAAAAGGGTAAGTTTGCTGAGACTTTTCTTTCGCATCTGGAGCGGCAGGGGAGAAGAGACCAAAATAATTTGCTCTGTTTTCCAAGCTACCTCAAGGCCTTTATTTCGTGCTTTTCCTCAACCCCTGCTTCCTTTTCTTTTGCGTACGTGTGTGTGCATGCGACCAGCACCAAGAAGCCATCTGGTAGCAATAGGAGGCAGCGCCGTCGGCCTCCTCTGTTGAAGCCACTCTGCAAACGCGTTCGACACGACACCGTTTTCTCCCTGCTCAGCAGAGCTCAAGCTGCGATGCCCTTGGCAGCCGATCTTCGCGAGGAGCCGCCAAGGCGGCTCCTGCCCCTTCAGAGGAGGCCTTGTCATTCTCACAGCCTGCCAGTCGATGCAGCAAGTTCTGTGGGTCACCTCCCCGATGGCGTCCTTCTGCTCGCACCCTCTACAATACGGGTAGCCAAACACAATGCACCCTTCAGTTGCCGAAATGGACCCCCGTTACCGCCTCGGCTGTTGAGAGTGCAGGCTTGGGGCTGATGGGAGTTGTAGTCCATCAACATCTTGAGGGCACCAAGCTACCCCTGCGATAAGCTGTTAGCTCACTTGGGACCTTCTCGTTTGCTTATCCTTGCTCTGCAAGCTAATCCTGGAGAAAAATGGTCCACACGGTGATGGAGCTAAGCATTTCAAGGAATCTGAATTGCTCTGGTGAAGGTTTCCCTCTCTTTTCGGAAGGTAAAACTCAGTAGTAGGAGCAGCAGTTGCGTTTCTTTCAAAGTCATACAGAAATGAGGGGCAGCGCCAGCAGGGGAGCCAAGAGGAAGAAGCATTGGCAGGTCAGCTGTTTTCATCCTGAGGAACAGGATGAGGAGGCAGTCAAGTCCAACTCTCAGAAGATCTTGCTAAGATCTTTAAGAGGTGAGGAGCTGCCCTTTCTGGATGGGGTTACACTTCCCCTGGAGGAATAGACGCTCAGCTCAGATCCATCACTGCCATTGAAAGCACAACTGGCATCATAGAATTACAGAGTCGTAGAGACGGATGAGACCCAAAGGTTCCCTCTAGTCCAACTCCCTGCAGTGCAGTAATCAAAGCGAATGGATACATGACAATTGGCCATCCACTTTCTAGAGAATTACCATATTTTTACATGTATAAGACTATATCCACCCCCAATTTTTCAATTTTAAAATTGGGGGTTGTCATAGATACATAGATTGTGCATATGGGGGATTTCTTTATTTGGAGTCCCAAAAAATAGGGTTCGTGTTATACACGAAAAAAATACGGTAATTTAATTCAGCTTTGGGACGCGGGTGGCGCTGTGGGTAAAACCTCAGCGCCTAGGACTTGCCGATCGCATGGTCGGCGGTTCGAATCCCCGCAGCGGGGTGCGCTCCCGTCGTTCAGTCCCAGCGCCTGCCAACCTAGCAATTCGAAAGCACCCCCGGGTGCAAGTAGATAAATAGGGACCGCTTACTAGCGGGAAGGTAAACGGCGTTCTGTGTGCTGCGCTGGCTCACCAGATGCAGTTTGTCATGCTGGCCATGTGACCCGGAAGTGTTTGCGGGCAGCGCTGGCTCCCGGCCTCTAGAGTGAGATGAGCGCACAACCCTAGAGTCTGTCAAGACTGGCCCGTACGGGCAGGGGTACCTTTACCTTTACCTTAATTCAGCTTTGGTTATTTGTTCTGTGTTTTATAATGTTAATGATGTTCTAATGATTTTATCGTACACCATCACAATATTTTTAGGAGCTGCCAGTTTATAAATATTCTTATAAATAGAATAACATGGTGCCTAGGGCTTACATATCAGCTTCAACTGTGGTTCAATTGCAATCCTATTGGATGGTGATAGAACCTGCCTTCAGTTGCATTTTATTCTTCCTCAGAGTCACTGCCTCTGAGACTTTGGACTCTGGGATTTAGGCAGCTTCAAATGTTCCTTCAGTTCTGGCACTTGTAAGCCTTTTTCTCACCCGACCGGGAAACTGCAAGGGGGCTACGCTGTTCAAATCCATGTCATCATCCTCAAAGCTTCCTAGCCTCTGCCATAGGTAGAGACTCAGCCATTAGGGTGAATGGGGCCCTGCCCTGCCCTCAGCCAGCCTATACCTGCCTGCTTTCCTACTTAAGACCAGTCCAATGGGTTGCCTGTCAGCTTCCCCCTCATTCTCCTTTACCTCATTGTTGACCTTGTAGAACTCAGCAGGAAATAAGATGAGGACAAAGTAGAATGAGTTGGCTCTGCCTTCTACTGGCTTTGACTCCACCTGCTACTGGCTTTGACTCCACCTGCTACTGGCTTTGACTCCACCTGCTACTGGCTTTGACTCCACCTGCTACTGGCTTTGACTCCATATGCCACTGGCTTTGACTCCACTTACCACTAGCTCCGGCTTCACTTCCTGTTTGGGCTCCCTGCCTCCCTCCCTCCCAGCCCAAACAGGCACCAACCCCACACCGAAGAAGTGGTGGAATCTCTTCCCAGCTTTGCCGGCTCATCCCTTGTGCTCACCTACCCTCAGGAAGCCCAAGGTGGCTTGGCATCCCAATCCACAGTCATGGCGTTCAAATTCCAAGTGGTCAGAATCCTTATTTTCTTTTGCCTTGTTTCCCATTGTCAGCACTGGCTGCCTTCCACTTTGGGTGTTTTTTTTTTGTTTTTGTTTTACTCCTCTAATTGCCTTCCACGTTGCCTTTACCCGAAATGAATCAAATCAAAATGCTTTTCCTGGAGCATTAGATAAAGCAGGGGAAGGTTTTCTGGGTAATGAAGCAGATGCTTCTAATGCAGGGGCTGGAAGGTGGGGGGGGGGCCTTGCCAGGGCTCCATCTGCTCCATGCTTGCCTGGGTCTGGCACAGAGCCACAGCCTTGAGGTTTGGGGAGGGGAGGGGGGAACACACAGACACTGTTTGCTTTCACCCCCCTGCCCTGCGCAGGTCTGATTCACACCATGAAAAGTTTTTGTGTTGCCACAGGAAGGTGGGTAGAAACAACCCCCTTTTCGTGGTGGCGCTCATGCAAACAAAGGCAGGGCTCCTCTCGGATTCTTGCAAAGGGTATCTTGCCTTGTCCATGTGCACGTGGAACTGCCTTATGCAGGATCAGACCATCGCTCCATCTAGCTCAGTACAGTGGTACTTCGGGTTAAGTACTTAATTCGTTCCAGAGGTCCCTTCTTAACCTGAAACTGTTCTTAACCTGAAGCACCACTTTAGCTAATGTGACCTCCCGCTGCCGCTGCACCGCGGGAGCACGATTTCTGTTCTCATCCTGAAGCAAAGTTTTTAACCCAAGGTACTATTTCTGGGTTAGCAGAGTCTGTAACCTGAAGCGTATGTAACCCAAGGTACCACTGTATTGCCTGCACTGACTGGCAGCAGTTCTCCATGGCTTCAGAGAGGGGTCCCCTCGCACATTCCCAGGCAGGCAGCAGCTCTCAAGGAGGGTGAAATGTAAGCAGGGCCCTGGAGGAAGCTCCTCAAGCCAGATGGAGATGGCCTCATCCAACCCCTGGACCAGAGCTTCCCCACCCTCTTTTAAAGCAGCCTAAAAATGTCAAAAGCAACCAAATGACTGTTGTCTAAAATAACCTCCATAACCACCACCACCATTGCAATGGTGGTTTGGACTTGGGTGGCTTGCTCTTTGCAGGGCTGTAGTCTTGATCATGATGCTGGCAGTGCTCATTTTTTGTTTAACGCTTTTTAAAAAAGTGTTAACTTGTTTTTATGGAGCGGGGGGGGGGGCAGCTGCTGTTCCATGCTTTCCTTCCTTCCTTTTTTCCCTCCTTTTGAAAAACCAGCTTAGCTGTTATTTACCTTTCAAACAATCAACATAATAGCCATTATGCCTCAAAGTAAATTTGGAAAAATCTGACTCGGAGTGCCTTACGGCTCCACTGGGGCAGTTTTAGTTGGGACTCCTTCTCTTTTTTTGGCTCTTTGATGGAAGCCTAATTGCAGTTTTGGCTCTGTTGCGCGCAGAACAAGGTGGCTAATTGTTTAGGCAAATAGATTAATTCAAGTATGCATCCCTAATAATAACATAAAGACAACAACAACCCCAAAATGGCTTCTGTGATGGCTTTTTGCTCCCAGGACAAGGAGTATAAATCTTTCAGAAAGAGTGCCATTAGATAGCTCCCGAGATTACGGGCATTATTTCTCAGTGGGGGAGTGCTTCTAAGGCACCAAAATAATCTTTGCAGAAGTGCACATAAATATGTTTAAAATTTTGTTTGGATGCCGTTTCATTAACACACTCTTGCTTTGCTTCCTTTGGGATGTGGGGGAGATGTCTGCAATCCATCTGCAGCTGCCTTCTGAGTCTTCTGGAACCCAGCATTCTCCCCATTTGTTAAATTCAGATAGGGAAAGGAAATGTTACCAGCTCCGATTCCCCTTGAACTTCTGAAAAGCTGTGCTGGAGAAACATGAAGAGCGAGAGTTTCTTGCTGTGATTGGCCCAGAGTTGCAAACAGAGGGGAAAGGGCACAGCTCAGTGGTAGAGCATCAGCTTTCCATGTAGATGGTCCCAGGTTCAATCCTTGACATCTCCAGGTAGGGCTGAGAGAGACTTCCTGCCCAAAACCCTGGAGAGCCTCTGACAGTCAGTGTTGACAGTACTGAGCTAGCTGGAGCAACGGTCCAACTTGTCATAGTGATCAGCCATAGATCATTGGAGGAACATCTGCTTTCCATGCAGAAGGGTCCAGGTTCAATCCCTAGAATCTCCAGGTAGGACTAGGAGAGAACCCTGTCTGAAATCCTGGAAAGCCACCAACAGTCAATGTAGACATTACTAATAGGTGGCTCAACAGGTCTGAGCCACTATATGACATCTTCTTACCTTTCTATGCAAGCCCAGGGGAAGGTCCATCTTGGATCATCTGCATGCAGAAGGTCCCAGGTTCAATCCCTGGCTTGTCCAGGTAGGGCTAGGAGAGACTATTTGTTTGAAATCCCGGAAAGCCGCTGGCAGTCAGTGTAGACGTTACTGAGCTAAACGGTCCCTTGGTCTGACATGGATTAAGACAGCTTTATGTATTCCTATGCAAAGTGGAAGTTGGATAGCCACCTTGGAGAGCTCCCTGTGGAACAAGGGTCAGGATTAAGCTGCACATGTGGAGCCTTCAACATGACTTCTTCCTTTTTCTTTATTATTTTTTATTTAAAGCTTCATAGAACAAATAAAAAATACAGTGGTACCTCGGGTTAAGAATTTAATTCGTTCCAGAGGTCTGTTGTACTCTACAAAGATGCACACCAAATACCAAGCTCTTGTGTTTAACATAAAAATTGAAAAGAAAATAGAGAACTAGAAAAAGAAAAGAAGAAAAACTTCAGACTCTCCATCTATCAGCTTTAAATATATATATAACATTTATGCCTCTTAATTACATTAAACTCTTCTACTTCCCGTTAACCAACCTTATCCTTTTTTTTAGTCTTCAGACCCTGATACCACAAGTTCATTTTCCTTATTGCGCAGAAAGTCCATAAGGGGTTTCCAATCATTAATAAATGTCAACAGTGATTTTTCTCTAATTAAGCACATCAACTTTCCCATCTCAGCCAAATCCATTAATTTCAATAACCTTCCATAGTAGGTAATAATGAGTCCTTCCATCCTTGTGCATGTAACAGTCTTGCCACTATAATCATGTATTGCAATAGTTTTCCGTATTATTTTTCTAATTGTATATCCATAAGCCCCAGCAGAAAAAGCTCTGGTTTCAGTTGGACATTAACCTTCAAAATCTTCTGTATCAGTGTATGCATTTGTAGCCAATATTTCTTAGCTTTTTTACACTACCACCAAGTGTGATAAAATGTCCCTTTTTCTTCCTGACATTTCCCACAAACATTTGGAACATTCTTATGCATTCTAGCTAATTTCTCAGGAGTTAGATACCAACAATACATCATATTATAAAAAGTCTCCTTTTAAGTTGGGACATGGGTGGCGCTGTGGGTTAAACCGCAGAGCCTAGGACTTGCCGATCAGAAGGTCAGCGGTTTGAATCCCCGCGACGGGGTGAGCTCCCATTGCTCGGTCCCTGCTCCTGCCCACCTAGCAGTTTGAAAGCACGTCAAACTGCAAGTAGATAAATAGGTACCGCTCCGGCGGGAAGGTAAACACCGTTTCCGTGCGCTGCTCTGGTTCGCCAGAAGCGGCTTAGTCATGCTGGCCACATGACCCGGAAGCTGTACGCTGGCTCCCTTGGCCAATAAAGCGAGATGAGCGCCACAACCCCAGAGTCGGTCACGACTGGACCTAATGGTCCGGGGTCCCTTTACCCTTTACCTTAAAGTCATAGCACAATGTATCTTTTAACCCTTTAGTCCACATGTGTTCCTACTGTTCCATCGGCATATTATAACAATTATTATTTTTTGCCCATTTACCCTCAACAGGACTTTGGCTGCTCAGGGTTCCTGACAGCCATTCCCTAAGAGAAGGCAGCTCCACTTCACCACAATTCTCTATTGGTGGTTGTTTGTTTTTCCCCCATTTCATTCAGGGCATGCCCATGGCTACTGACCATGCTCCATTGTCATTGGGCTTTGAGTGATAGGAAGGTGTCCACCCTTAGCTTTTTAAATTATTGTGGGGCTGAGCAGGCTGATACTTCCTTCACCTTTCTCAGCAGCCCTATTTAGGCTTCAGTTTTGCTGGCATTTGCAATAAGCCATGGTTTGACTCCTCATGATGTACAAACATGGCCTTCGTCTGTTTCTGGATGGCTGCATGCCAGGGCGAGTTGCTGTGTAGGGAACTGGCTATGTCACTCAGCTATGCTTTTCTTACATGAAGAAAGCGTTTGTGTCTCATGGAATACATTAAGGAGTGTATACAGCTCTTAAGGAGTATATACAGCTCTTAAGTGGCTTCAGTCCTATGCCAATTTATTCTGCGTGGATGTCCTCAAAAGCTTCTCAGCTACCTCTTCTCTTGTGGGTGGTGCCAGTGAGGAGCTTACCTGTCTCTATATCTCTGCTTTCTTGTGAAAATCAATAAAAAACCTACTTTCGTTTGTATTCAACTGACCGTCAATCAGTTTCATTTGGCAAGCCAGATTCTGCTGGCTGCCCTTGCTGAGATTCAGGTGCCCCCTGAGATCTCGTCAAATGTTAGCGATTACTCCATGGAACGGATCTTGGTTTGATGAACCCTCCAGATGGTTTTGTGGTTGGCAGCATGAATAAAAATGTTCCACCACTGCTACTGATTCTTCATTTTTGTTTTTCTGGTGCACAGGGACGATTAAGGTGTGGAGCCTGCTGGTTGGCCGTGACCCGATCCATTGCTCCCAGCACAATCAGAAGATACAAAGCTTGGCCCTTTCGGCTGAAGGGGCAACGATAGCAACCGCATCCGCCTTCCAGGTCAAAGTGGAGAGCGCCAATGACAAGGGCTACTGGGAGACGGCTGCAGAGTTTGAAATCCAGAAACTGGTGAGACTACAGCGCCCATCGTCCCTGACCATTGGCCATGCTTGCTGGGGCTGATGGGAGTTGGGAGTCCAAGAATCTGGAGGGCCACCGATTCCCCATCCCGCAACCAAAGAGCCCAATTCACCAGATCATTCAGGTTAAGCTCGATCATGCACTAAATGGCAGCTACAGATCTGGTGCTCTTCTCTCCCTAATACGGGGGACCCTTTGGCCTTCCTGATGTCAATGGACTACAGGTTCCATCAGACATGGCCATTGGCCATGCTGGCTGGGGGTTGACATGCTCTAGGAATCCAAAATTATATATACATTCATACCTTGGAAGCTGAACGCCTTGCGAGTTGGAACGTTTTGGCTCCCGAAGGCTGCAAACCCAGAAGTGAGTGTTCTGGTTTGCGAATGTTCTTTCGGAACCCAAACGTCTGGCACAGCTTCTGTGGCTTCCGATTGGCTGCAGGAGCTTCCTTCAGCCAATCGGAAGCCGCGCCTTGGTTTCCGAATGTTTTGGAAGCGGAACAAACTTCTGGAACGGATTCCGTTCGGCTTCCAAGGTACCACTGTGTGGAGGGGCACAGAGCTTCCCCATCCTGACGGGTGTGGGGACCTGGTGTCTTGGCAAAGGTGGGTTTGGTTTTACATCTCTAAACACTGCAGTGGAGAGAAAATGCGGAGACGGGACAAACCAGCCAGATGGGCTGGGCATAAATAATACCATTATTATTATTATTATTATTATTATTATTATTACATCACATCAGGTCCATTGCTTTGGGTGGTTGTTATATGGAGCTCTGGGATGGAAGGAAATTGCCATCTATCCTCATGCCCAGCAAAAAAAACAAGGGCCCAAGGAGGAGTTCTTTTATATCATAATTCAGAAGGTGCTCCACCATGGAGTTATGGCTCGTAACAGTGGAAGAAGCCAGTAGACAAATAAAAAGGCAAAACACCTGTTGAATTTTTTGTTGGGGTTGGGGTGTGGGGTCAGCAGAGAGGAAGGGAAGCTGTTAGAGAGAAAATGAACCCCAAAGCTGAGGTTCTTGCAGTCACTGTAACCCCCTGACCCCTTGCAGGTAGGCTCACTCTGCCTGGTTCCCCGCGTTATGGGCCTCCCTGTGGCCGTAGCCACTGCGGAAGATGTCGTCTATCTGCTGAAGGTTGGGGACTCAGCCAAGGTCCTTCATTCTGTCTACGGTCAGCCTGCCACATGCCTGGACGTCACCTCCAGTGAGGCAGCGTTCGGAGTGAAAGGCTTCGGCTGGTTGATCAACGAGACCAACAAGGTATTTCAGCCTTTCATTCTGCAAAACCTTTTGAGTTGCCCCCTGTATAAGGCCTATCAATGGTTGCTCGCTCATGATTGACCCTCCTGTATTGCATGGAAATCTTGCTTATTACTTTTATGCCACAGCTAACAACGAATACCATTTACTCTGCCATCCTAACATCGCTGTTGGCAAGAGCTCTCTAGGGTAGGGGTGAGGAACCATTGGCCCTGCAGATGCTTGCTGAACTACAACTCCCATCAGCCCCCAGCAAGTATCACCAATGTTCAGGGATGATGTAGTTCAGCAACGTTGCGGGGGGGGGGCAGTAGGTTCTCTACACCTGCCCTAGAGGCATGAGATGCAAGTTTTGCCCATCTGCCTGGTGTTGTTGCTGTTGAAAGCTCCGAAATGACTCACTTCGTATGCACCCAGCAAAGTTTCACCCTAGTTTTAAAGGGAACATGGGAAGGTGCCATCTCCTGAGTCAGGTCATTGGTCCATCTAGTTCAGTGTTGTCTACATGGACTGACAGTGGCTCTCCAGGATTTCAGACAGGAAGATCTTTCCCAGCCCTCCCTGGAGATGATGGGAATTGAAACTGGGGCCTTCTCTCTTGCAAAGCAGGTTCTGTGCCATCAAGAATAAGGAATAACCCCCTGTTGTTCCAGTAGAGGCCAAATGCAGCCCAGTATTTGCCCCACCCCACCCTCAGCAACTGCATTATTCCCTTGACACAGAGGCCGAGTCTTGATTTGTAGCGACAAATGTGCCTCATTTCCTCGCAGAGGGAGCCAGGCCTTTTTGTACAGCTGTAGGCCTCTAGGGGGAACTGTTTGCTTTTTTATAGGAGACACTGTGCTTTCCTTGTGAGACTCTGCGAGCGACAAGAACTCCTTGGAACCGATTGCGTTCCGACTGTGCAGCTGTGTTCCAAAGTGTGTGACACCTAGGGGAATTTAGAAGCTTGCAAAAAATAAATAAATGTTGCAATGCATGTTGTCTGTGTTGGTCAGCCAAAGGATGCTCCTGCCGACACCACAGGTGCCTCATACAATTACAGGTGGCAAAGTGTGCATGTTTTATAAAGATTTCAAGAGGAAATGATAACAGTGGCTCTGTGCACAGTATCTGATCTCTGCTTACCTTTCCAGGGTGTTTATTTTTTACAGCGACAAAGTAGTTCCCTCAAGCCTAGTTAGAAGGCCAAGGTTTTCCTGATCCTTGGAGTTAAGAGTGCCTTTCTTCAGGGGATGAGGTTGAGGAATAGGGCTGGACGATATATTGATATATCGTCCAAAAGCAGTTTGAAGTCCATATCGCTCTATTGGTTTCATAATTTTTGACCTGGCAATATGTTGCAAATCAAGATGTGTGTTAGGGCTGGGCGATATATCATCCAAAACCGGTTTGAAGTCTGTATCGTGATAGTGGTTTCATAATTTTTGGCCTGGCAATATATTGCAAATCATGATATCTCTCTCTCTCTCTCTCTCTCTCTCTCTCTCTCTCTCTCTGTGTGTGTGTGTGTGTGTTAGGCTAAAAATCACAAAGCTGGGAAAACTGAAGCCAGCCAATGTCTCTACATAGCTCCATGCTTATTTCAGACATTGTGATAGATCGGTATATCACGATGCTTAGCTGGTGATATATTGCAGTGTTTAGATGGTGAGAATGTCACATTGCCATCCTCAAAGAACTCCCCATTAAAGTTCAAGTGTCCCCCTTTCCATTGGGGGTACAAGACCCCTGGAGCTGATGGGGCCCCTGCACCTTTCAGCCAAGGTGGCGTTTGCCAAGCTGTTGCTCTCTACATATGGCTCTAGCTAAGGCTGGCTGTTGCTGAAGCAACATCAGAGCTTTGCTCCTGTGCAGCATTCAGGAGGAGTGCTGGGACAAGGCTGGCATTGGCATCATAACAAAAGTGCCCTGTCCATGCCCCAAATGGAACCAGAAGAAAGAGCTCCGCGGGAGCCTCCCGAATGGCGCTCTGTGGATTCGGAGTGGTTTCCTAATGTAGGTCTGAGGTCTTATTGGTGTGCGGTGGCAGATGGTTCGCGAGGGGCATGTATGCTAATGAGGGGGAACGGGGCTGAAGGAACCCAGACAGTTAGGATGTCTCTGACAAGGACACCGGCTTGCTTGGCGTTCCCGCTCCAGCTGACATCACGCCGGAAACTTAATTACGAATGTCTATTATGATAATTATTCCCCAGACGTGAAGGGACTTTGCATGGGTTGATTATGGTGGTCAGGAGGCAATGATCAATCTCCAGGTTGATGCGAGAGACGTATCGCTGCGTTTTGGCCTGTTTTGGAGGGATGGAGCTGTCTCCCCCGCTCGGCAGTCATGTTTCATTTTTGGTTTCCTGGGCCAAGGTGCTGCACTTGGTTGGCAGAAGGATTGGACGAACAGGAGCCCGCTTGTCGAGACGATGTGCTTCTTTTTGTGCCATTAAAATCACACCAGCCCTTTATTTTACGTTGCTCTGATAACCGATCAAAGACTTACTGGTTTGCTGATGTGTCTTTTTGCCAGTTGGTTGATATAACTCGGATGCTAATCTTCGGTGGATGCTGTTTTGAGAACCTAAAAATTTAAATATCGAAAGCTGCCGTTTATTCTTAGAAGAAGCATTTTCTTGTATTGCTCCCCTATCACTGCAGCACAGCAGAACCAAAGCAGCCTCACAGAAATATGTGTATGTTGTGCCCTTGATTTTCAGCCCCATTGTCTAAAAACTAGTCTCCTTAATTAATTAATTTTGTTATATTTATGGATGCTTTAGCTGAGATTCCTGCATTGCAGGGGGTTGGACTAGATGATCCTTGAGGTCCCTTCCAACTCTGCAATACTGTGCTTCTATGATTCACCATGGAGCTGTCCGGTAGATCTCGCAGAATCCCAAGGCTATAAAGTTCACTTTAAAAAGTGAGAAAGTTTCTAGCCCTCATTGTTACTAAGGGAAATAGATACTGGTCTTTCATAACATAATTTATAGTCCTTTGGATATATTCTAGAACAGTGGTTCATTAAATCTCCCTGCCTGCCTCCCTGCAGAACCACTTGAAAGTTGCTGGGGGTCTCTTGCTGGACCACTTAATGGTTTTTCTGCCTGCTAGATCCTGGCTGATTTTAATTTGCATTTTTAATCACTTATTTTGTTTATTAGATATTATAGTTTACTCTATTGCCCTCTGAATCCAATGGAATTCAAAGTGCAACACAATGAAAGAAATAGAAGAAGTAATGGAAGTGCAATCAAAAACCAATATGTATGTTTAATACATACATATCAACCACAAATCCACGGACACGCTACATGCCGCCCGAATGAATCCTGTGGGCCGCTAGTGGTCCGCAGACCCCTTCTCTAAACGCAGCAGAGCAAGTCCCTGAGCCTGTAGTCCTTGTTTCGCCGCTTGCATCTCAGTGAGAGAAATGACCACTGCGTTGGACGGCTGCTCTCTCCCCGCTTTGCCTTTGTCCATAGGTTAAATGTGTTTCGCAACCTCCTTCCTTGCCTCCGGCAGACATCTGTCCGCATCTTAACCCCAGCCTGGCTCGGTCGCCCACTCCGCTTGGCAAGGCAGCACGCAGGGAAACGAGGTCCAGGCCAGAAGCAGCAGGAGCTGCAGGTGCTTTGGCAAAATTCACCACCGACATCCGGGCTCACTCCTGGCTCGGTTTGGTGATGGCAGCTTTGTGCCGGCCACTGACTCACTCTCTCTCTCTCCCTCTTTTTCAAACTTTAAAAAGGAAAGGGGGGGGGGAAACCCCCAGAAACCTGAGTGTTTTTGTTTTGAAAATAGCATCTCTGTTAATTTGCACGGAGGTGCTGCGAAGAATTATCATTGCACCGTGAGCATCTAGCCTTGCCGGAGGCTGGGAAGGCGGACTGCCGCTTCGCCTGATTTCCCAAGGTGGCCTCCTCTGAGGCCACCTGAGTGAGAAGAGAATGTGTATGTGTACGGAAAGTCACTTTTGGGATGGCATGGAAGTTGAAGTGCGTCCCTCCCCGCCGCGCCGCCCACGTGATCCTCGATGAGGTAGCATTCCCTGCGCTAGAACGCTGACTCCCCCCTGGCACAGAGCCGCAAGATAGTCTGGCTGGCCGGCTGTCAAAAAATTACATCATGTTGGAGTAAACTGCTTTTAAATCAAACATCCATTATTCATACATATTAACTGCTTTATGCCCTCTTTTTTTATTATTCCACACACACCTCTCGTCCCCCCCCCGTAACTGTTTCTTCTGGGTAGGTTTACTGTTTCCCACCCCCAATTTTCTCTCTCTCGTTGATCTTGGTCTTTCGAATATTAGCTCATCTGTAATCTTATAATCAAACAAATCACCTTATCTCCAAGCTGTGTGTGTGTGTGTTTAGCCAGCCGATGTGATGATTAGCCACACACACTGCATGGGGCCAACGCAGGTTGGAGTCCAATATCACCAGGAAGGCCGCAGGAATAAGCCCTCAATAATGCTGGATGTGCACTTAAGCCACAATCACTCGGCACATTCAAAGCACTCTTCTACGGCTTTCATAGTCACAGCTCTCGTCCCCGTCCCCCCCAGCAGAATAGGATCCTGGGAACTGTAGTTTGAGAGTCCTGGCAACTGGAGCTCTGTGAGGGGCAGCCTAAAGTTCCCAAGATTCTTTGTGGGGAGCCAAGGCTGTTAAAATGGAATAACAACATAAGACAAATCCTGCTGGATCAGACCAGTGACCCATCAAGTCCAGCATCCTGTTCTCACAGCGGCCGACCAGATGCCTGTGGGAAACCTGCAAGCAGGATTCAAGCACAAGAGCCCCCTCCCCTCCTGTGGCTTCCAGTATTCAGAAGTATTTCTGCCTCCAGCCATGGAGACAGAGCATAGCCATTGTGGCTGGTAGCCATCAATAGCCTTCCCCTCCGTGAATTTGCCCAGTCCTCTTTTAAAACCATCCAGATTGGTGGCCATCACTGCCTCCTGTGGGAGTGAGTTTCATAGTTTAACAATGCACTGCATGAAGAAGTCTTGACTTTTATCCGTCCTGAATAAATGTACCTTTAACTCAGGCTTCCTCAGCCTCGGCCCTCCAGATGTTTTGAGACTACAATTCCCATCATCCCTGACCACTGGTCCTGCTAGCTAGGGATCATGGGAGTTGTAGGCCAAAAACATCTGGAGGGCCGAAGTTGAGGAAGCCTGCTTTAACTGCACGGCTGCAGCCTTAGTTATTGAGCCAACGCCGCCTTCCCTAACCTGGTGCCCTCTAAATGGTGCCGAACTACATCTCTCATTATCCCTGGCCATTGGCCATGCTGGCTTGGGCTGATAGGAGCCGGAGTCCCCCAGCAATTGAAGGGCCACGGGTTCCCCATCTCTGGATTAAAGCCCGTATCTCCTTATCCCCTAAATTGCATTTCTCCCCCTTTGCCTGCACCTCTCTCCCCATGCACCCCCCATCCTTGCCAACCCGCCCCACTGTCCAGCAAAGGCCAAAGGTCTCAGCTCGCCCAACTTGCGTCGTGGTGAGGTGGCATTAGACTAATGCGTTGCCTGAACAAAAGGGAAAGCCAGGGCATAAATAATTGATTTTGCTCTCCTGTAACAACCGGCGAAAATGAAGTCCCATTTGCTCAGCCTTATTAAAAGAGCGAGAGGGGGGGGGCGAGGCGGTAAAGGTCGTTAAGGGACTTGTAACGCGGAGCAGAACCCGCCCGCGAAATGGATGCTGCCCTTTGCTAATCTCCCAGGGCTTTAACTCAAAGTCGCGGCGAAGGCCGTCTTAAGGCGTTTGGGGCGCGTTGAATTATTCAGCGTTTGGGGAGATCAGTCCCCGCTTCAGGTCCAGAAGCTTTTTGATTTCTGGTGGTAAACTGGGACGCCTTTGTTTGTTTGTTTGGTACGCGTGTTCCTGGCTGAGTTCTCGATTCTGGAATCGAGAGGTTCCCTGTGAACCTGCCTTCAATCTTGTTGAGTCGCCGCTGCTGCCATCTTAGAACTTCAGACTGAGATGGGTGCCTCCTTGGCACCCAGCGCTTGGGACTCTCAGCAAATTTGTCAACAGGATCAAACCTAACTAGCCCCAGCTGACTTTCTCCCTCTTTAGCCAGAGTGCGGAACTGCCAGTCCACGTGTTGGATATGGCTCCAGGGACCTCTTTGTCTGACCTTCGGCCTCTGCTCCTCACTTCTCCCCTGTGCCATAATTAATGCTTCTCTTGAAGCTAATAGGAGGTGTTTTTTAATTGTCTAAATGGTTTAATGGGAGACCATTTATGGGGGAGTCACAGCTGGGGAGGAAAGGGTTAACATTGGACATCTAATGAGTCTAGATGTTGGGGACTGTCAGCAGGGCCTTCTTGGTGGCGGTACCCTCTTGATTGAATACACTTCCCCTGCATGTTAGGCTGCCGCCATCACTGATTGATTTCGGAGCCATATGAAGATGCTTTTCTGAAACGTTTGAAGATCAGCCTTGACTTTTTCAACAGATGGCAGAACATGTCTTTGTATGCATAGGTGATATTAGATGTGCATGCTGTGAGCCTCCCTTAGGACTGTTTTACAGTTAATAATAAAGGGATATAAATGTCTTCTTCTCCCCCCCCCCCATTTTTATTTGATTGCAATATATAAGTATCGGTATCTACATGTACAGGTATATACCTACCCATGTATAAGTATGCTTAATTCATTTTTAATGCATAAAAATACATTAAAGCCAAGCAAGCAAGGGAAATCAATCACGGAAATGAGAGACCTTGGGTTGTAGCCAACTGAGGCCTACTCAGAGGAGACCCATTGGAATTAACCAGCCTAAGTTAAGCCAGGTTCATTAATTCAGTGGGTCTGCTCTGGCAACCATTAACATTGGATACAACCCTCTCAATATCTGAGCTATAAATTGTTTCCAACGATATATACCGTATTTTTCCGTGTATAAGACTAGGTTTTTTTCTTTTAAAAATATGTTTAAAATTGGGGGTCGTCTTATACACGGATACAATTCCCCCCATTTTCTTAATTTGGATTCCCCTAAAACAGGGGGTGTCTTATACACAGAAAAATACGGTATATGGCTAGATATTTTCTCATGTCTTAGGTTGACTCCTTTATCTCACTCTTGCAAGGTTAGTTAGTTTTATCATATGAGCCAATTAGTCAATTCCCATAGTCTCCCATTCCAATCTTCTAACACAGGGATAACACTCCATTATAGCATTTTGCTGTAGGAGCAGCTGTTACCAAACACATTATCAATTCTGCAAAACCAGATCCTCAACATATCCAAATAATACTGTGTATGGTTGTGCCGGCAGTTCAGCCCCTGTTATAAGTTAAATTTCATTTCTGATTGGGGAAGTGTTGTAACTTAGTGGTAGGGAATCTGCTTTGCATGCAGAAGGTCCCTGGCTCAGGGTGGACTCAGTATAAGACAGCTTTCAATGTTATATATTCCCCCAATATTGTTAATTTTAAGAGATAACAAGTCTACAGTTGCTGGAAGGGCAGAAAGAGGAAAGTAACCTCCTGGGGGAAAGGAACTCTGTTCACCAGTCCTAACTCCTTGTTTTTCTTAATCAGAGAGGCAGATTCTTAATCATAGAATTGTAAAGTTGGAAGAGACCATGATGGCCATCTAGTCTAACCCCCCGTAATGCAGGAATCTTTCACTCAACCTGGGGCTCAAACCCATGACCCTGAGATTAAGAGTCTCATGCTCTACCGAGCCATCTCACTTAGGACTGGGGAACATTCTCTGGCCTTATCTCCCCCACCCCTCAAGGCCCTGGAGGGTGCAATCCTGCTTGCTGCAGGGGTCTGCTTGGTCACCACAATCCTTGCAGGGAATGCACTGGCAGAGCAGACCCCAGCAGAATTGAACTCCACCCTCCCACCCCTTGGTTGACATCAGTGATGACATCACTGACATCACTGACATCAGTGATGACCCAGTGATGTCACCTAATGGATAGGTAGGTTTGGTGGGGGGAGGGAATAGCTGTGCAGGCCACTTTGGACCCCCTGGCAGGCGAAGACTGGCCTGCAAGGCCAGAAGATCCCCACCCTTTCCCCTAACCCTTGGTTGACAATCTGCATTCCCATGGTGTGTTTTTTCCCCCCAGATCCTTCTCTACAACTTGGAAACGGGACAGTGCACAGCGCAGCTCGGAAGCTCCTTGGGGGACTTCTCCTGCGTCAATCTCCGGGACAGCCCTCCCTCCCTGCTGGTGGCTGGGAACAAGGACAGAAGGTACACCCAAGGAGGTGGGGCAGGGGACCCCACACAGCACACATTGAGCTGCGTGCGGCCCATTTGGTCAGGTTAGATTTATCAAACTTTCTATTTTGCTTCCCACACATAAAAAGGGTTGCCTCCAACGCTAGTCCTACTCAAAGAAGACCCGTTGAAAATTAATGGGCGAGGCTCACTTAGGCCCATTCATGTCGATGGATTTACTCTGAGTAGGACTAACACTGTATACAACCAAAAAGTCCCGAATCAATTTGTGAGAATAGTAAAGGTAAAGGGACCCCTGACCATCAGGTCCAGTCGTGGCCGACTCTGGAGTTGCGGCGCTCATCTCGCTTTATTGGCCAAGGGAGCCGGTGTACAGCTTCTGGGTCATGTGGCCAGCATGACTAAGCCGCTTCTGGTGAACCAGAGCAGCGCACGGAAATGCTGTTTACCTTCCCGCCAGAGCGGTACCTATTTATCTACTTGCACTTTGATGTGCTTTCAAACTGCTAGATTGGCAGGAACAGGGACCGAGCAATGGGAGCTCACCCCGTTGCGGGGATTCAAACCGCTGACCTTCTGATCGGCAAGCCCTAGGCTCTGTGGTTTAACCCACAGCGCCACCCATGTCCTGCATGAATCCAGTAAATAAAAATATACATATCAGAAACAGAATAAAAACATTCAATGGTGGATACCACCCAGATGCCCAGGGAACAAAAAATGTATTTGCCTGGTGCCTAGGACAAAAAGAGAGTAGGTACCAGGTAGGCTTCCTGAGGCACAGCATTCCATAGACTTGGGGCTACTACAAAAAAGGCTGTGTTCAACCTCCAGGCCTCCCTTATAGGTGGCATGCAGAGAAGGGCCTCAGATGAACTGGGCAGGTTGCTAAGGGGAAAGGCAGTTTGTCCTGGGCCCCCAAACCTATCATGCTGTTCTGAACCACAGTGCAGACAGTAACGTGAATCAACCAGTCTGGTGGACTCTTGCATGTGGACTGCGGCAGGGAGGCGCTATCTTGTAATTTTCATCCGGTACCAAAACACAGGAAGCTGCTTTACACTGAGTCAGACCTTTGGTCCGCCTAGCTCAGTATTGTCTACACCAGGGGTGGCCAACTCTCAAGAGACTGCCATCTACTTTCAGAATTAAAAACTGACAGTTGTCTTCCCCTGTTTTGGGGGAGGGTTCAGCTCAAAGTTGTTGAGCACTTTTTTAGGGAGGAGAAAAGCCCTGTTTTTTTACTCACTCACAAATGGATCACTATGGATCAAAGCAGCAGCACAGAGAAAGCTCCATCTTCTCTTCCAGAGATCATACAACAATGGAGGGTGTGGCAAGGGGGCGGGGCAGGAGTCAGTTTTAATGATGCTAAGGAAAGGGAGCCAGAGATCGACTGCGATCTACCAAAACTTCACAGGGATCTACCAGTAGATCGTGATCGACCTGTTGGACATCCCTGGTCTACACTGACTGGCAGCAGCTCTCAGGGGGGGTGGGGTTCAAGCAGGAGTCTCTCCCAGCCCTGCCTGGAGATGTCGTTGGGGCTTGAACCTTGGACCTTCTGCATGCAAACCAGATGCTCTGCCACTGAGGCACAACACCTCCCCAAATGTCTTGGGCCGGCCTGGATCTGGGCACCCCACCCCAAACATGGCTGCACCTTTGTAGCAGCTTACCTGTTGCCTTTCACGGAATTGCACTGCACACCAGAGGCAAGAGTCTGCATAAACTTTTCAGAGAATGAGACGCAATATTACGTCATGGTTGGACAGCACACCTCGCTTTGCTTTGTTCTGTCCTGTCGTTGTTTTGCAAGCTCCGCGGGAAGAGTCCCTCCTTTACTCCTCTTCCCCCCCTCCAAAAAAAATAATATTTTTTTAAAGCCATTTGGTGGACACAGTTGGTGTACTGCCCAGCGAGGCCTCTTGGAACAAGGCCCTCCTCTTTCCTGCGGACACTCGTGGAAAAAAGGGAGAAAGAAATGAGTTTGGCATTTTAAACCTCACTTCCTGAAATTTTGAAGTAGGGAAATAACCTAAGGGAGAATCGCACGTGCCAAAAAGAGAACCCACCCCCACCCCCTCGGTACCACCGCCACCAAACAGTGGGAGTAATGTAGGTTGGGTTGCAGTTGATGTCTCTCAGGTGGCCAAAACAAAAAAGGATTTTCACGTGAATGAATTCCAGATCCTATTTAGCTGATTTGCGGCTCCCCACCCCTTTATCTCCTCATCTTGGCCAGTCTTACGTCTCTCCCCCCCCCCCCAGCTCAGTGTCTGTTGGCAGACATGGAAGCGCTCAGAGTCATCAGTGTGAAAAGATTAAGAGTGCTTTAAAAAAAACAAAAAAAAACCCACGTCCCTCCACATCCAATTTTTAGATTCCCCCTCCTCCCCACCACCTCTTCTTTTTCTTTCTTTTTTTTGGGGGGGGGGAGAGACGGGGTGTTAATTATTTAAATGGTCCAGCACACCGCACCAAAGGGATGTTGCACGGTGGCCAAAGGCCAGCTGGGTAATAGCTCCCTGCTCTTTCCTTCTCCCCTTCTCACACACCTGTCTCCCTCCCTGTACCCTGCTCCCGCCCCCCCATACATCAGGCCTCAGGTGGCACTTTGGTCCAGGATCAGTTTCAAAGGCATGTTGTTTCCCCTTTCTGGATTTTCAGAGCCTAACTGCCTTCTGCAGGAGCCAGTTCCATCATTCTGCTTTCTGCTGGGTGAAGAAGTGCTTTTTCAAATCGATCCTGAGTACAAGCGTACCTCGGAAGTCAAACGGAATCCATTCTGGAAGTCCATTTGACTTCCAAAACATTCGGAAACCAAGGAAGCTCCAGTAGCCATCTTGCGTCGGACATTCGGGTTCCAAAGAATGTCAGCAAACCAGAGCAATCAATTCCGGGTTTGCGGCGTTCAGGAGCCAAAATGTCACAAGGCGTTCGACTTCCGAGGTACGACTATCTATCTATCTACAGTGGTACCTCGGGTTAAGTACTTAATTTGTTCCCGAGGTCCGTTCTTAACCTGAAACTGTTCTTAACCTGAAGCACCACTTTAGCTAATGGGGCCTCCTGCTGCTGCCGCGCCGCCGGAGCACGATTTCTGTTCTCATCCTGAAGCAAAGTTCTTAACCCGAGGTACTATTTTGGGTTAGTGGAGTCTGTAACCTGAAGCGTATGTAACCTGAAGCGTATGTAACCTGAGGTACCACTGTATCTTTCTTTCTTTCTTTCTTTCTTTCTTTCTTTCTTTCTTTCTTTCTTTCTTTTTTTTGCCTGGCACCTAAAAGTGTATAATGAAGGTGCCAGGTGAACCTCCCTGGCGAGAGCGTTTCACAAATGGGGAGCCACAGTAGAAAAGGTTCTCGTGTTGCCACCTTCCAGACTTCTCGTGGAGGAGGCACATGAAGAAGAACACAAGTTCTTGTGTTAGGAGGGTTGGGGGGGGTAAGGACAGAAACTTTCCCCTACCTTCTTTCTCCATGCTGTACATAATTTCTTTTACACTTCCTTTGTGTCACCTTTTGCTCTCCTTTTCTCCAAACTCAGGGTCAAGTGGTTTTGTGTAGCTGTAAAGCACCATCTCCTGTGCACTGGAGGAGGAGGATTTAAATTTATTCCCCACCCTTCTTTCCAAAGAAACTCAGGGCAGGAAACGCATGAGCGATAAAGCAAAAATGGAAACATATTTAAGCACTTAGCCTCTCTCCAACTTCTGGGAGTTATCGGACGTTGTCCATACTTCCAAGCCTCTCTTCATGGGCCTGAGGACCAGATACTTGCCTCATTTCATTTAAATTTTTATTTCTTTCATGCACACAATTCAGAGCAGCGTACATGTTTCTTCCCCTTTTTGCCCTCACAACCACCTTGTGAGCCAGGGGGATCAGTGAGGATGAGGTTGGGGCCAGTTTTCCTTTAAGCATGGGCCTTGTGAACCTGTTTAGTGTTGCGGGAATTTTCCTTAGTTTGTTTTCGAGGAACAGGAACAGGTGGGGGCGTTTCTGGTTTTATCTACCTCCAAGTGCACCCATTGTTTGATTTCATCTTCCAGGATATATGGGATCATGTGGTGCACTTGGCTGGCGATATAGTGTAGTTCTGTGTTCTCTAACACAGTTGTTAATAAAAACTAATTTAAAAAAACAGCAGCAGCAACCCAGTGAGGTAGGTTAGGTGACAGGTAGTAACTGCCTAAAGATCACCCTGTGAGCTTCATAGCTGGGGGGGGGGAGAGAGAGAGAGGAAACAGCACCTGAGATTCCCAGGTGCCTAAATTCTAAACTCAGCTCCCGAATTCCATCCTTTTCAAGGTTCGATCATTGCAGAACCACAATGCTCTGGCATTGATAGCCAGAGCCTGGGAGATGGAGTTGGTAAGACTTCCCCGCTGCACAAAAGCAACAACAACTCGAAAAGTGTCTTTTGCCTCCCCCTCCCCACCCCCGGGAACGGATGCCTGGAAGCCGGGTCCTTGCAAATGAAACCACGACGACTCAGCCAGGGCTCGGTAGATGGAAGGCGGCCTGATTATCATACGCAATGCCGGCGGGCAGCTCGCCAGGCCGCACACTGTCAGAGACGGGGGCTTGGAAGCAGCGCTTTGGTTTCGCCCAGTGCCGAGCTCTGCGCAGCCCCCCACCCAGGCAAGAGGAAGAGCGGGAGGCAGGCTTTGTTTACTCCATCTGTGGATGCTCTGACAAGCGGCAGCGGAGGTGTTGCGCGTGGCCCAGCCTGCCTGAGCACGCTCATTTCCCTTCTCCAGCCTGTCAGATGGATGCCACCCGGTCGGAAGCCTTTGTCCTCCTTTTTGTTCTAATTGTCGGAACGGAGCTATTCCCAGGCTCCTGCCGAGCGGTTTCATTAGAGAAGGGCAATGTGGGGAGGAGGGAGGGAAGGAGGGAAAGCTTTGGATTTGTTTTTTTGGAACAGCCTCCAGATCGGAGCAGGGATCCTGAACAATGGAAGTGCTGGCACAGGGAGTGTCCTCCTGTCATCCGCTCGGGCCTCCCAGCTTCCGCAGTTCATCATTTCCCAAGGATTAGCTTCCATTCCTTTTCCAGCAGCCTCTGTGGCGGTTCCCGCTCGACTCTCTGGGCTCTGTCATTGTTAAACACACACACAGACACACACATGCACACACTTTTGGCAATCTGCAATGATTTCATCTTCAGTTGTTTTGGATGATCAAACTGCTAAGCCCTACCTCCTGCATCCATCCACTTGCTCAACTCTCGCACAGCCTCTTTGAGCCCAGCAGTGGGAAACCTCAGGCTGAGAGGCAGCCCTCCCAGCCTCTCTGCCTCCCCAGGCCGCCCCCCTGACTGGCTCCACGTCACACCTTCCTTGGATGTTTTTGCTAGGCTGCGGTGTATATTCATAATGCCCCTCGCTTCCCTGGAGGAAGCACAGAGAGAGGGGTTCATGAGTGTTGTTGTTGTTTAGTCGTTTAGTCGTGTCCGACTCTTCGTGACCCCATGGACCAGAGCACGCCAGGCCCTCCTGTCTTCCACTGCTTCCCGCAGTTTGGTCAAACTCATGCTGGTAGCTTCGAGAACACTGTCCAACCATCTCGTCCTCTGTCGTCCCCTTCTCCTTGTGCCCTCCATCTTTCCCAACATCAGGGTCTTTTCCAGGGAGTCTTCTCTTCTCATGAGGTGGCCAAAGCACTGGAGTCTCAGCTTCAGGATCTGTCCTTCCAGTGAGCACTCAGGGCTGATTTCCTTAAGAATGGAGAAGTTTGATCTTCTTGCAGTCCATTGGACTCTCAAGAGTCTCCTCCAGCACCATAATTCAAAAGCATCAATTCTTTGTTCACAATAACTTCTTCCATCTCTGTTCCGGGGACCTCCAGGTTAGATTACTGCAACACATTATAGGTAAAGGTAAAGGTAAAGGGACCCCTGACCGTTAGGTCCAGTTGTGACTGACTCTGGGGTTGCGGCACTCATCTTGCTTTATTGGCCGAGGGAGCCGGCGTACAGCTTCCAGGTCATGTGGCCAGCATGACTAAGCCGCTTCTGGCGAACCAGAGCAGCGCACGGAAACACCGTTTACCTTCCCGCCAGAGCGGTACCTATTTATCTACTTGCACTTTGATGTGCTTTCGAACTGCTAGGTTGGCAGGAGCAGGGACCGAGCAACGGGCGCTCACCCCGTCACGGGGATTCGAACCGCCGACCTTCTGATTGGCAAATCCTAGGCTCTGTGGTTTAGACTACAGCATCACCCGCGCCTCTAAAGATGGTTGGAGAAACTTCAGCTGGTGCAGAATTCAGCGGCCAGCTTGCTCATCAGGGCAAGACGGTTTCAACATATTACACCGTCCAATTCTGGGCCGCCCAATGAAGCTGAACGTTGGAAGATTCAGGACAGACAGAAGAAATAACTTCTTCCCCTAGTGCAGACTTAAACGGTGGAATTTGGGCTCCCTCAGGAGGCAGTGATGATTGCCACCAACTTGGATGGCTTTAAAAGAGGATTAGACAAACCCACAGAAGAGAAGGCCGTCCGTGGCCACTAGCCACAACGGCTGTGTTCTGCCTCCATTGCCGGAGGCCGTGTGCCTTATGACTGCCAGCAGCTGATATTCAAAGTGGGGGGAGCGCTCAGGTCCTGCTTGCAGGCCTCCCATGTGGCATCTGGTTGGCCGCTGTGAGAACAGGATGTTGGACTAGATGGGCCATTGGCTTGATCCAGCAAAGCTCTTCTTAATTTTTTTTAAGGGGTTTAGACAAATTCATAGACACATCTGAAGGCAGCCCTGTATAGGGAAGCATTTTAATGTTTCGTTGTGTTTTTCTATACAGTGGTACCTCGGGTTAAGAACGTAATTTGTTCCGGAGGTCCGTTCTTAACCTGAAACTGTCCTTAACCTGAGGTACTACTTTAGCTAATGGGGCCTCCTGCTGCCGCTGCGCCACCGCCGCGTGATTTCTGTTCTCATCCTGAAGCAAAGTTCTTAACCCGAGGTACTATTTCTGGGTTAGCGGAGCCTGTAACCTGAAACATCTGTAACCTGAAGTGTCTGTAACCTGAGGTACCACTGTATGTTGGAAGCCACCCAGAGTGGCTGGGGAAACGCAGTCAGATGGGTGGGGAACTTATAACAATAATAGTAATTGGAGCAGCCGTTCCCAAACCATTTTCCCCCACTTGAAAATTGCTGAGGTTGTTGACGGATTCTTCTGCCTCTTGTAGCAATTTTCATGCGCTGTCCTAGGTGCTACGTGATTTTTAATTGCAGATGTGCTGTGGACCACCTGGATGAAGGGGTCTGTGGAACCCCTTCCATAGCAGCTAACACTATCAATGGCGATTCTGGCTTCTACTTCCACTTTCAGAGGCAACATGTTACTGAATGCCAGTTGCTGCGAATCACGAGCCGAGAGCACTGTTGCACTTGTGCCCTGCTTTGTGGGCTTCCCATGGGCATGTGGTTGGCCACTAGATGAGCCACTGGCCTGATCTGGCAGGGCTCTTTCCCGTGTTCTTATGTATAAACATCCATTTCATTTAGGGCAATTCTACCCCACCTTTTTCCTCCAGGGAGCTCAGGGTTGTGTACATGGTCCTCTCCTTCCTCAGTTAATCCCCACAATAATAACCCTGTGAGGTGGGTCAGGCTTTGTGGCCGACTTGGGGATTTGAACCCTTCTCTCCCAGGTCCTAAGTCTGGCACTCTAACCACTGCACCACACTGCCTCTCATAGATGGCTCAACTAGTAAGAGAGGCTGGCTTTCGGCACGTACGGAATCTAACATGGTTCCAAGTAGATCTTGCTGGAACCATCTCTTCCGGGGTTGTGCTAGTGACAACGTAGCATGGTGACGACACGAGACTTGACTGCATTTCTGTCTTTGTCTTAGGGTGAGGGTTTTTGACCTCCGCATAAGAGCCTCCGTTTGCTCCCTCTATGGCCACCAGCTGGGAGTCTCTTCTGTGCAGATGGAAGACTGGAAGATCGTCAGCGGAGGGGAAGAGGGCCTGGTCTGCGTGTGGGACCAGAGGATGGGCACCAAGCTCTGGGAAATCCATGCCAGGTAAAGTCAGCTGCCGGTGGAGGCTGGTCCATTAGAGCAGTGTTTCCCAACCGGTGTTCCGCGGCACACGAGTGTGCCGTGAGACGTTGCCTCGTGTGCCGCGAGATGCCTGGAGGGAGGCGGGCGAGTCGGGCGGCGAGAGGCGGGGCGGCGGCGGCGAGGAGAGGCCGCGCCTCCTGCTGCTGCCTGGCGCTCCTCCTCGCAGCCGGCAGCGCTGCCTGGGCGCCTCCGCGCGACTCTGCCTCGCTGGGTTTGGTCTCCCAGCAGAGACGGGTCATACGCGCCACTCCCTCCCTCCCTCAGCCTGCGCGGAGGGAGAGCCAGAGAGAGGCATCGCTCCTGCGCGGCGGGAGAGGGAGCTTGGCGCGTCCGCGGTTTTTATAGGGCGCCCGGCGCGCACCAGCTCGATAACGGGCACCGGCGCGGCGGGGGGCGCCGGGCCGGGGGAGGGGGGCGGCCGGCCTGTCTCCTTGGCAACCCCATTGAGCAGCGCCGGCTCCCCCGGGAGGGCCATCCCCCCGCGCCGCCGATCGCCAACACCGCCGACGCTGTGGCTGCCCGAGCCCGAGCCTGAGCCCGAGCCCGACCCGGAGCCCGAGCCCGAGCCTGAGCCCGAGCCCAAGCCCGTCAGTCAGGAAGGAAGGAAGGAGAAATGGGGAGGGAGACGAGGGAGGAAAATTGCGCGCAGGGTGAAGAAAGGAGAAGGGCGAACGAGACGAGCTTCCAACCCAAAAAAGGGCTGGAAGACTGGGAGGATGCAGGATCGGGAAAGAAAGCGACGCCTTCCCCGCCCGCGACGTCGCCCGCTTGTCATTGGCAGCGCAGCGGGCGCCCAGAGGGGCTGGGCACCGGCGCAGGGCCGCTCCGCAGCCGCGGAGGACAGCTGCGCGGCTAGCAAGGTGCGCCGCGTAGAGCGCGGCCCTTGTGTGGCCCGGTGGCCAGGCAAGCTCGGGCGGGGACCCCCATGCGAATCTAAGACGGGAGAAGAGGGCAGAGCAAAGGGGGTCCCTTCCCCAACCTCCGGCTCTGAGACTTCCCTGAGCCCCAGAAAAGCGAAAGGATTTCCCCTTTTTTTATATATAAATATTTTATTAAGTTTTCAAATACAAAGTTAGAAACATACACTGAAGAAAAAAGTAAAAGAACAAGAAAAAGAAAAAAAGAAAAAGAAGAAAAGAAAACCAACCATTCAACACATTTTTTATATAACTAACTGGACTTCCTCGCATCTCCCTTACCCTGCATTCTTTATAATAAAGATATCAGCAAATTATTACCTTGTTTCGTACCTTATTTTGTACTTTTCAAATACTATACCTCTAAATTTAACATACTTTTCATCAGTTACTTATATCTTAAATTAAACATAGTATTACCTTAGATTTTGACCTTTTCTTACTTAAAATATAATTTCCTGTTTCCCAAATCTAATTGCTGAAGCTATAGTTTCCGAATCGTGTAAATTTTTAACATTCATACAACTTATATTGCTTTTGGAAATAGTCCTTAAATTTTTTCCAGTCCTCTTCCGTTGTTTCTTCTCCCAAATCTCGGATTCTGCCAGTCATTTCAGCCAGTTCCATGTAGTCCATCAATTGCGTCTGCCACTCTTCCAGTGTGGGCAAATCTTGTGTCTTCCAATATTTTGCGATAAGTATTCTTGCTGCTGTAGTTGCATACATAAAGAAAGTTCTATCCTTCTTTAACACTTTCTGGCCAACAATGCCCAAGAGGAAGGCCTCTGGTTTCTTGGGAAAGGTATACTTAAATACCTTTTTTAACTCATTATAGATCATTTCCCAGAAGGCCTTCACTTTTGGACAAGTCCACCAGAGGTGAAAGAATGTCCCTTCAGCCTCCTTACATTTCCAACATTTATTATCAGACAGGTGATATATTTTTGCAAGCTTGACTGGGGTCATGTACCACCTATAAATCATTTTCATAATATTTTCCTTCAAGGCATTACATGCCGTGAATTTCATTCCGGTGGTCCATAACCTTTCCCAGTCCTCAAACATGATGTTATACCCAATATCCTGAGCCCATTTTATCATGGCTGATTTGACTGTCTCATCCTGAGTGATTTTCTCTTCAACCTGCCCTCCATCCTCTTGCGGAAAACTCTTTGCCTGCCCTGCCCGTATCTCGTTTTTGCTTTTTAATTCCACACACGCACCCTTCAGACTTCGTGGCAATCGGGCGCGCGGGTGCGTTTCCTAAGAGAGTGAGGACCCCCGCCTCCTCCCCACCTGCTCCCTCGCCAGCCAGCCAGCCGCGCGCCCTAGCCGGAGAGCCCCGGCCGTCCCCGTCGCGCAATCGGCTGGATCTCCCTTCAGCAGGCCGTGCTCACAACTCGGCCCAGGGACCCCCAGCAGCGGATCTCCGGCCTAGCTGAAGAATCCGGCAACAAGCCCCCTCCTCCCCAATCGCTCCGCCGAAATATGCTCCAAAACCCCCCAGATAGGCCGCCGGCCGCCAAGTCTCGTGGCGCCCTGAGCGAGGGTCTCTCCCCAACACCGCCACCTTGAACTGCGTTCTCCCGGCTACCCGAGCGAACCAGCGGCAGGACCCCGGTATGGGCCCCCCCAATATTTTTTATAAGTCGGCGCCCCTGATAACTATAACTCGTGGTTCTGATGTCCCAACGCTCCCACGGGGCACATTTCATTCAGGCGGAGGAGGGGGTCGTTGGCTAACGGCCAACAGGCAGAAAGGACTGTCCAACAATGCGATTATCCACACACACACATCTGATCCATGGATTAACATCAAAATCCTTGCATTAAAGCTCACTCCTAAGGAACCAGTGGGTCATTAGGCCTTCAGATGCACTTTGAACAAAGAGATGTTCAAAGGGAAAGCTGCTTTTAATAACACTGCTTTTGCAGGTACTATTGGTCTGGGTCTCATCCAGCATCTTTTCAGTACACCCAGTTAGGATTCAGCAGTCCAGTTGTACACTCTTGGGTATTCAGCATTAGCTTAAGGCGTGCAATAATCACATGCCCACTTTTGCAGCATCTTCATAGCATCCCAAGTCACTCTTGGAATGCTCTCTTTATCATACCCTGCAAGTGTTTACTTGTGTAACACATCCTACCATATCTTGCAGAGAAGCACTTCAGAGAGGGCCAAAAACCCCCACACTTGGTGCCATTTTCATCTACACATGCAGCAGAGTAAGTTGACCCAGAATAGTACCAATTCAGATGGCAGATGGGAGAATGACAGTGCTGAATGCTTTCCCATGTAGAACAGTCCCTGCAAATAAAAACCTAGCATATTTGGAAGAGGGATGCTAGCCTAACCATTACCTTCTATGCTGTTACTATTTTTTTTATTTATTTTTTTACATAAGTAAAAAGTGACCTTTCCCCATCTGGCATGGTGGTGTGCCTCGAGATTTTTTTCATGGAACAAGTGTGCCTTTGCCCAAAAAAGGTTGGGAAACACTGCATTAGAGCAAGGGGGGCGGGTACTTGCCTAAGGATCAACGCTGAGGCTGACTAGCAGCAGCACCTGCTTTAAGTAAGGAGGCGGGCAGGTGGGGCTTTGGTGAGGGGAGACTCTACTGCAATAATAATAATAATAATAATAATAATAATAATAATTATACCCTGCCCCTCTGGCTGGTTCTCCCCAGCCACTCTGGATGGCTCCCAACTGAATATTAAAAACACAATACAGCATTAAACATTAAAAGCTTCCCTAAACAGGGCTGCCTTCAGATGTCGTCTAAAAGTCTGGTAGTTGTTCTCTTTGACATCTGGTGGGAGGGCGTTCCACAGGGTGGGTGCCACTACCGAGAAGGCCCTCTGCCTGGTTCCCTGTAGCTTTGCTTCTCGCAATGAGGGAACCGCTGGAAGGCCCTCGGCGCTGGACCTCAGTGTCCGGGCTGAACAATGGGGATGGAGATGCTCCTTCAGGTATACTGGGCCGAGGCCGTTTAGGGCTTTAAAGGTCAGCACCAACACTTTGAATTGGACCAGTGTTATATAGTCTTGGCTGCTCTGTGTGACTATGTATTTTGAAGAAATGTATTTGTCTAGTTCCATGGTTTGGGACTCCCAAATGGTTAATTCCACTCTCGGTGGCATTGCCCAAAGTCTTACAGGGGCTGCTTGAACGCTTACAGCCCAGATTGACTGTTCGGTGATTTCTAGTGCCAGCGAGGTTCATTTAGAAGCTGAGCCTTGAGTGTTATCAGGCCAGTCCTGCAGAACTCTTTGCCACTGGTTTTCATTGTATGATTTTATGTATAAATGGCAAACTGCTCAGGGGTGGAGGTTCTTTTCTCTATCTAGGAATAGTGGGATCTAAATATTTTTTTACAAATATAATAAAATACCCAAGTGCACCTTTTACCTCCTGCTTCTGGCATCTCTGGTTAAAATGATCTCGGATGCCTGATTTCCGTCCATTAATTTAAGTGGCTCTTCTCTGAGCAGGACTAGCACCAGGTATAACCCCAGCCCTGATAAGTCAGGTATGGGGAACCAGGTTGGACTCCATCTCCCATCATCCGTGGTCATGCTGCCTGGGGTTGATGGGAATCGGAGTCCAGCACCACTTGGAGGCTCTCAGAGCATCTGCTGAAGCTGCCTTTTCCCCTTGCCCTGCTTCAGGAATCTGGCTGCACTTCAGCAATTGTCCATTGGGTGGTGCTAAAAGCAAAAATACTATTACAGTGGCACCTCGGGTTACATACACTTTAGGTTACATACGCTTCAGGTTACAGACTCCGCTAACCCAGAAATAGTACCTCGGGTTAAGAACTTTGCTTCTGGATGAGAACAGAAATTGTGCTCCAGCGGCGCGGCAGCAGCGGGAGGCCCCATTAGCTAAAGTGGTGCTTCAGGTTAAGAACAGTTTCAGGTTAAGAACGGACCTCCAGAACGAATTAAGTACTTAACCCGAGGTACCGCTGTATTATTATTGGCTTGAATGGAGACCCACCCCCTTCTCTCCCCTTCCCCTCCAGTGCCACAGCACTGGACTGACCCATTTAACTCAAAACAAGAAAAAGCAGCAAATGGAGACTTTTGGAATGACCAGCGCCACCTGGTTGCCTGCCAGATATTTTTGGATTGCAATTCCCATCAGCCTGAGTTCTGGACCAAAACCTCTGTAGGGCACTAGGTTTGTTTCTCTGAGTAGACCTGTTGAAGTTAGTGGACACAATTTATGCAAGGCTGTTGGTTTCAGTAGGTCTACTCTTGAGTGTGGCTTTGGTGGAGTCAACCAAGACAGTAAGAGCTGTTTGACAGTGGAATTTGCTGCCAAGGAGTGTGGTGGAGTCTCCTTCTTTGGAGGTCTTTAAGCAGAGGCTTGACAACCATATGTCAGGAGTGCTCTGATGGTGTTTCCTGCTTGGCAGGGGATTGGACTCGATGGCCCTTGTGGTCTATTCCAACTCTATGATTCTATGATTCCAACCCTACTTTTCAAAAGTGGAAAAAAAGACAAATTTTGTATCCATAGGAAATCCGCCTGCAAATGACTTGAGTTTAGATACGCAGATAACAAACGTTGATTTTGCTATGAATATTGGGCAGTCCCGTCCCCCCCCCCCCCCGCTAATGCAGCATTCATGTTGTCATTTGTGCATGGAAATGCATTTTTTTCACTTAGCATTTTCATGTGTGTGGGGGTGTAGAGTTTTGTTCCAATCAACTCTGCATTTTAATGACAAGACATTTTTAACGGTGGGGGTGGGGAGAGAAACTATTAAAAGAACTTGCACGTCATATTTAGAAATGTTAATCGTGACTCCCATTAAGATTTAAAAAAAATAAATTAAACAGAAACACCAACAACATTCCTTTTTCCCTCCAGGCACCCTGTCCGCCACATCTGGTTCAACAGCCACAGCCTCATCACCGCCAATATCCCTGACGAGAAGGTTCCCCGAGGCGCCAGCCTCATGGATGATGACCTGACTGCTCATCGAAGGTAAGAATCAGCCACAGGCGCAGCATTTTTACTAAGCAGAAAGAGAGCCAAGAGTCTGAGAAGCAGGGAATGCGAGTGGGAGTGGGCCACGCCCCTGAATGCTCAAAGCTGAGGTGGGAGGGTTAATAGAATTGATGGGAATAATGACTGCAGCCATGTCTGGGTTGACCACCCTGTGGAATTGCCTATGAAGGGCCTTTCAGTTGTGGCTCCCCATCTATGGGATGGTCTCTCCAGTGAGGCCTCCTGGGAACCTTTCAGTCTCGGATAAAGACTTGCCTTTCTTCCCCATGGCCTGTGGGGGACTGAGCGAATCTGTCCCACAGTACCTGTGCTGCAAAAGCTTTCTGTGGCCAGGCGTCATTGTCCCCTTCAGGCTCCAGGCAAAAATATTTCTTTTTTGGCCAGGCCTTTGGCTCTTAATCATCTGTGGCCTCCTTGAGTGATGGGATGTTTTGGGACTGTCTTTTAGATTTTTGTCTAAGTTGCTCACAGTTACCTTGGTAAAAAGACCACCAATACATTCAGTAAATAATAATAAAAAATATATGAGGATGTGTTTGTTTCTGTATTAATATGTGAATGTTTCATATGAAGGAGGCTTGCCCCCTCCCCCCCCCAAAAAAAATATTTAGGCACCAGGCGAAAACAGTTCTCTTCAATCGAGCATTAGGCTGATTTAACCTTCTGTGACCTTTTAAATGTGTCGGGGGCGGGGTTATTGGTTTGTTCTGCTTTTGTTTTATCGCATATTTTGTGTTTTTATTTTGTATTTTTACGCTGTGGACTTCCCTGTGACCTTTGGATGAAGGCCAGTATACAAATGAAATGAATGTTGTGCTCCTTTTTCCCACAATGGTACAATGCGGTTATGTTTATGTTTTGTCAATCTAAGTTGCTTGGAGTTTCTAGGTAACAGGTGACTTAGGAGTCATAATAATAACAACAACAACAACAACAACATCAATAATAATATGCATGCTAATCATGCTAATGCCGCCTGTCTTGGTTGGGGAGGGCGGGGTATAAATAATAATTTATTATTATTATTATTCTCCCCCCAAATCAGACATCGAGGAATCATCTATGCGTATGAGTTCTCAGTGGACCAGCTGGCTGCAGAGAGCATCCTTCCTATCTGCCGCTCCTCTTACAACGAAACAACAGGCTACAACTACAATATTGGCCTGGCGGTCCCCTACGACAACATCTAGCTGCGTCGGGAAGTAAGAGGTGCTGATCAAAGGCCGACCAACGTGGAGCAGGAAGGACGGTGCCCATGTCCACAGGAAGGTGTCTGGGTCACGGCAGTGGCTGCCGCAGAAACACACAGAGGAGAATGCAAAGATGATCCTCAGTGATGCCCCCCAAAACCCACCTGGATGCAGCGAGGCAGAGGACGACGAAGGATGAAGCGGATGCAGTGGGCAGGGTGCAGAGCTTTGCAAAACCCAGACATGGCGCAGTAGGAATGGAGGAGAAGTGCTGGCCCAAAGTGACTCAGGCCCAGAAGAGGAAGAAGAGGCGCAGAAGGGAGTAGTTAAAACAGGGAGCCAAGCAGGTAGAGAGACTAGACTTCCTACCTTTGGGCCCAGGCCTGATCTTTTAGGTTACTTATGGGGCTGGGGAACATGAGGGCTGGGACCACAACCCTGAACTACAGGGCCTCTTGAAAGCATGTGTAAATCACTCACCATTTCCTCCCAGGATGTCAGATAGCCCTTGAAACACACTTGGGAAGTTATAACATGCTTCTGGACATGTTTACACAAACAAACAACCTTTTCTATTGATGATGATGTAAAGAAATGAGATTTGTTAAAATTAAATACCAGGGTACCTTGGTATATTAGACTCAACCACATCTCCTACAATGGTTTATTGGTGCTTGTTTTTAAACTTTTTTTGCTTTTAAATGTTTTCCGGTGCTTTTACTGTATACATTTTATTGTTTTAATGTTGTGAATCCCTTTGGTATGTTTCGTGATTTAGTGGATATAAATACTTTTATAAATATAACCGTACCAACTGGGAATAACAAAGTGGCATGCTTCATGCTACACAGGGCATCCCCTGTTCCTTGGGGCATGTTGCTCCAGTTTTATTTCACAATTAGCGAAGAGTACTTGGACTGCCCAGGATTTTGTAGAAACGCCCCCCCCCCCCCCCAAAAAATGGATGGTGTAATTTGTGAGTTTGGATTCATTGCTCCAAAAATCGAGGGAAGTCATTTGCCAAAGACACGTTTTTCGAGAGCGGTCAAGTCTATGCCAAAGAACAGGTGCAGTCCACCATCTTGGTTCAAAATGGTGGCTGGCTTGCAAAGGTCAACAGAGAGCACCGCCCCTGCCCTGGGAACCCTCACGCCAAATTCGGTAATGATATTTTAAGACAACAGACAGAAATCACTTTCCAATATATATATAGTAGATAGATGTAAGATAATCTGGATCTGATTCCTCACCCTTGGTTAAGAAGAGCACCCGGTTTTTTAAAAGTTGAGTCCCATGACTGTATCTGATCACAGGATCCACAAGTAAACAAGCTTCTGCCAAGAATTAAAAACAAAACCTGCTTTATTGATGATTTGAGGCTATTGAGGCTTTTTAGTGTAGACAAGAGAGAGAAAATAGCTGTAAAGCCAAAGCCAGGCACATCAACTCCTAAACCTGCAACGCCCCCCTGCAAAAAAAACTGCCCCAGCCGTGGGAGATGCAGTTCCCCCTTAATACCCGTATCGACCGCCTGACGGTTTCCGTCCCAGGTCGCTCCAGAAGGCACCAACACCTCAGTCCCAGCTTTTCCGTGGTCAGTAGCACATCGCAATCGGCTCCATGGTCAGGAAGCGAACGTGCATCTTGGTCTCAATGTCTATCCCTTCCCAGATCTGCCGGTGGAGAGGCAACAAAAGCAAGCTTGAGCCACAAGTATAGGTTAGGGGCCCTTTTAATGCTACAGGCCACAAACTAAGGTCTGTTGCTGATAAGCTGCAGATTTGGTATCTGCTACTCTTATGAGTGCACTCAAGTCATAGAGCTGGAGGGGAATAGTCTTGTAAGCAAGCCAGTCAAACCTGTCCCTGCCCTTGTCTGATGCAAGAAATCTGAAGCATCCCAAACGGACCAAAGGTCTCCTGTGGGGAAGGCTCCCCCACTCTGTCCCCCAGTATCAGGTCCCTTTCTCAAACAGTTCTTGCTGCCAGGATACTTCTCCCACTTTTCTTATTTAGAAGCATTTATATAACAGCTTAAAAAGGGACGCGGGTGGCTCTGTGGGTTAAACTTGCCAATCAGAAGGTCGGCGGTTCGAATCCCCGCGACAGGGTGAGCTCCCGTTGCTCAGTCCCAGCTCCTGCCAACCTAGCAGTTCGAAAGCATGTCAAAGTGCAATTAGATAAATAGGTACTGCTTCGGCGGGAAGGTAAACGGCGTTTCCGTACACTGCTCTGGTTCGCCAGAAGCGGCTTAGTCATGCTAGCCACATGACCCGGAAGCTGTACGCCGGCTCCCTCGGCCGATAAAGCGAGATGAGCGCCGCAACCCCAGAGTCGTTTGCGACTGGACCTAATGGTCAGGGGTCCCTTTACCTTTACCTTTATATAACAGCTTAATGTTTATAAAATCTCTCAATGTGCAATTTTTAAACAGGGGAAAAAATCATTAAAATGCAGCCTAAAATCAATAAAACAGCAATATAAAAACATATTAATCAGGGTTAAGGCAATTTAAACCCATAAAACAGGACCCAATTTTAGAGGTAACAGAAAGCCTAGCACTGTGTCCCTCCTCTCTGTCTCCTCTCACTCTCCTGCCCCCGCCCCTCCCACAGGTTGGTCTCCATCACTTCCGCCAAGCAATAGGGTGAGCATCCATTCTAACCTTAAGGAAGTCTTCAAATGTGATTCCCTCGTATACTTGATCCGGCTCCTGCAACAAGAACAGAAGCATTACGTTGATCGGTGAAAGTCCTAAAAGGGCAGAGGAGGCATTCAGAGAAAAAACGGAGGGCTCTTACTTCTTAACTCAAAGCAAAAACCTACATGCCATTCTTAAGGGCGATGTTTTCCTAAAAGGGCTTACAGCACAACCTTAATGGAAAAACACAATTCAACATTAAAATGGGTGGGGAGCCTGGGCCAAACGTGGCCCACCAGTCCATTTTTTTCTAAAAACACACCCACATGCCACACACCTGATGTCAGGTGTGGGGGCAGAGAGAGACACAGCTGCAGAAAGTGGAATAGAATCAGCAGGTGTGTATGGGGAGTTCAATCCTGCTTTGTACCTCTCCATCCCCCCCCCCCCATCTTTCCAAGCGCTATCTGGAGATGGGGATTGAACCTGGGACCTCCTGCGGGCAAGCAGATGCTCTACCGCTGAGCTACATCCCTTCCTTGCCTCGGAATGACCATCATCTGCAGCGTTGCGCTCAGCCTACCATTTGCCCCACGCAGATGCTGGCAGCCTCCATCATGGCTCCGTCTGCGATGGACCTCGCCGATTCCTTATCCAGGTGGGGGTTCCCCGAAAGCATCTCTTGCACAATCTGGAGGGCAGAAGCAAGTTGAAAACTGGTTGGAGGAGGAGGAGCAGTGCCGGGTCATTGAAAGTGCAGTTAAGGGAGTGGAATGCCCTAATAATAATAATAATAATAATAATAATAATAATAATACATTACATTCCTGTATTCCTGCAGAGTGATCTTGCCGTCACTGTCTGCATCGTACATGTGGAAAAGAACTAGGGGAGAGAAGGCAAAATAAATTAGGGTCAGGAGTAAACAGCTTAAAAGCACAGTACTATGCGAGAAATAAATTCATTCGAAGCCCATATTTACCCCGCACAATAGTAACTGAGGCCTAACAGATCAAATCAGGGACTGTATCAAACACCAATAGAGTTCTTGTGCCAGTAAGCAGGGGAAGGTTGTTTGTGTGCGTGCGTGCAAAATCAAGAACATATAATTTAATGACTTACAAAAATAACTGCAGCTTGAATGCAAATGAAAATTAAACACACATGGACCAAAAGTGTGGGTCATCTCATTCATAGCCCATGGGGGGGAGGCAATTACTGATATTGGAGCGTAGTAACATATTCTTTCTTAAAATATAGGATTTGCTTTACTTATAAATCTCAGGATATTGTCCTCAAGGGTTTACAATGTTCTTTCTTGACGATGAAAAGTACCAAGAATGCCAAAGAGCATAATTCACAAGAGGCCTTTGAACATTATCACCGTCATGAAATAGGTTTTCACTCCCCTGGTTGAAAATGATGGGCAGGGAAGAGGGGAGGGGTGTCCTTTGGTATAACGTAACCTTCGACTCACCGTATTTTTCGCTCTATAAGACGCACTTTTCCCCTCCTAAAAAGTAAGGGGAAATGTGTGTGCATCTTATTGAGTGAATGCAGGCTGCGCAGCTTTTGCTGAAGCCACGAGAGCAAGAGGGATCGGTGCGCACCAATTCCTCTTGCTCTCCTGGCTTCAGGGATAGCTGCTCAAAGCCTCTTCAGGGCAACAGGAGGAACGCTCCCCCTGCCCTGAAGAGGCTTGGCACGGCTATCCCAGAAGCCAGAACAGCAAGAGGGATCGCTGCTTTCGCTGCGCAGCGATCCCTCTTGCTGTTCTGACTTCGCTTCGCTGGAGAGGCGCTGCGCAGAGAGGGAGAGAATATTTTTTTTCTTGTTCTCCTCCTCTAAAACTAAGTGTGTCTTATGGTCGGGTGCATCTTATAGAGCGAAAAATACGGTGATTTTTCCATAATAGCTATGGACCAGATTCTGACTGTACCATAAATCCTTATTTAATCCCTCTAAAGAGTTCCTTTTAAAAACTATTTCTACAGTAACCATCCTGGCAGCTCTCAATAAGTACAGGATCAGTCCTTTATCCAAAGCACCTTCATTTGTCCAGAACAGAATGTGGCCCTCAATAGGAAAAAGTTTCTCTGCTGGATGATTTTGAAGTGGGAGATGGGAGGGCACACAGTGGACATGGAAGAAGGGGAGAAGCTCCGGGCACCACACTCTTTACAGCTAAACATGAACGCAGCGGGTTCATGCAGACCATTTCTCCCATCTGCCAACAAAGCAATAAGCTTGATCAAGAAAGAGGAGCACCTTACATTTTAGCTTCTTCTTGCGGAATCGATCGAGCTGCTCGTCGTCCATGTCCATCTCGATGGGCCTGAAATTGGACATGATCGTCAAGAAGTCTTCGAAGTTGATCTCCTCCGCAAACCCGTCCGATGATTCTCGCAGGTTCCTATTGGCACGAAAGCACTCAGAACACTTTTGACATGAGGAACACCTAATGTAGAGCCCTCCATCCTCTGGCTGGGCTCCCAATGCAGCCCTAGTCAGCATGGGCAATAGCCAGGGGTGATGGGAGTCAGGCTCCAGCAGAAACTGGAGGGCACCGTGTTGGCAACCCTTGTTCTACATACCCATCGGCCCCTGTGCTTTTGGGGGGGGGTGGGATGGGGTGAGGGAAGTGTGTTAGCAAAGGCTTAGCCATATTTAGAAATGGGTTGGCTGCTGTGTAGGGGTGTCCCAGACATTTGAATAAAATCAACACATTTGTAAAAACTCAAATCTTTCATTGTGGCAGCACTCAAACTTTGGAACTCCCTGCCTATTGACGCGAGGCAGGTACCTCTCCAGCAACAGCTAAAAACTTTTTTTCTTTTTAAGGCAAGCCTATCCAAATATGCAGGGACGCGGGTGGCGCTGTGGGTTAAACCACAGAGCCTAGGACTTGCCGATCAGAAGGTCGGCGGTTCGAATCCCCGTGACGGGGTGAGCTCCTGTTGCTCAGTCCCTGCTCCTGCCAACCTAGCAGTTCGAAAGCACACCAGTGCAAGTAGATAAATAGGTACCACTCTGGCGGGAAGGTAAATGGCGTTTCCGTGCGCTGCTCTGGTTCGCCAGAAGCGGCTTAGTTATGCTGGCCACTGGCTGTACACCAGTAAAGCAAGATGAGCGCCGCAACCCCAGAGTCGGTCACGACGACTGGACCTAATGGTCAGGGGTCCCTTTACCTTTACCTTTATCCAAATATGCAGAATGTCGACATGTGTTTTAATCTGCTTTTATCTGATCACTGATTTTAATTTGAAAGCTTCACGTCTTTACTGATAACGTCATTGTTCTCTTTTTTCGGTAAACTGCTTTGAGGTTTTCCCTTCTGCTTACAAACAAGCAGTATATAAACTGTGATAAGATAAGCAGAGGATAAATTGTTTACTTACAGAATTTAAATGTGACAATTGCCATTTGCAGATAAATCCATAGGAGAATGGAATGCGTCACACACACACAGCCCAGGTCCCCAAAGTGCTAAGGATTGTCTACACCAACAGTAACTGCAGAGGCGTGATGAGTTGGTCTGACTAACTGGATTTTCTGTGGCAAGGGGAAATCTAGGTCAACAGCTTTTAAAAAGCATGCATTGGCATTTTGAGGATGAAACCATGTGGATGTTGCAAAAATAAATAAATGGCAGCAACAGCACAGGGCATAAGAAGAGCCTTCTCGATCAGACCCAGCATCCTTTTCTCACACTGGCTTTTGGGAAACCAGCAAGCAGGCCCTGAGCACAAGAGAGAGAACACTCCCCTCCTGTGGTTTCATAATAATCATAATTTATTATTTATACCCTGCCCATCTGGCTGAGTTTCCCCAGCCACTCTGGGTGGCTTCCAACAGATTTTTAAAAACTCGATAAAACATCAAACATTAAAAATTTCCCTAAACAGGGCTGCCTTCAGATGTCTTCTAAAAGTCAAATAGTTGTTTATTTCCTTGACATCTGGTGGGAGGGCGTTCCACAGGGCGGGTGCCACCACTGAGAAGGCCCTCTGTCTGGTTCCCTGTAACCTCACTTCTTGCAGTGAGGGAACTGCCAGAAGTCCCTTGGAGCTGGACCTCAGTGTTTGGGCTGAATGGTGGGGGTGGAGATGCTCCTTCAGGTATACTGGGCCGAGGCCATTTAGGGCTTTAAAGGTCAAAATGCATCCTGTTTCTGACCATGGAGGTAGAGCACAGCCATCATGGCTAGTAAGCCACTGATAGTCTCATTCTTCTGATGCAGGAGGAAGGCGGAAGGCACCCAGGGAAAGGGGGGCAATGTTTGGGATGCCATCAAACAGGGGCCACCAAGTGAAATCTTTGATTTTGTTTATTTGGCAAGATTTATAGACAATTGATTAATAATAATAATAATAATAATAATAATAATAATAATAAGCAGCTTTAAGGCATTTACATAAAATGCAATAAAATATTCACTAGACTAAAAGAAGAATAGCAATAAAACCAGACCTTAAGAAACAGTAGGCATAATAAAATTACCAGAATGTTCTTGAAATGGTTGGTTCTATCGACAAGTCTGCCTAATGAAATTACACGTCTGTAATTTTGCCTAACGAAAGCAGCCTTTAGCAGGCACTGAAAAACAGGACGTCGAAGCTGCCTCAATCAATGACTGGTTTTTAGGTGCTTGTTTATGCGCTTTACTTTTTTTTAATGGCTTATGTGCGGAGAGGGATTCGAGGTTAAGGAGAGTTGCACAGTTCTTGTTGCTATAGAGAACAACCCCCCCCCCCCCGGGGAGGCCAAGCACCCACAACATTACCTCTTGTCAAAAAAGGCCTGGACAATTTTGGATCTAATTGGATTGAACTCCAGATCAGGGACGCGATCAAAGTTCTCCTTGCTGCGGAAGTAGAAAAGGACAAAGAGAGAGAGAGAGAAATAGTGAGTGAGAGAGACAGGTTGCTGAAGACAAATGAACGATCTCTTCAGCACAGGGTCATGGCTCAGTGGCAGAGCTGAGGTTTGGTTTGGTTTGATTTGATTTTTTTGTTTTTGCATTTTAAAGATTTTAGGTTCATGGCTTTGGGAATGTTTTGAACTGTTTTATAGAATGCTTTGCTTTGTTTTAAATGGCACGCCAGTTCGCTACCCTCGGCTCCTTGGGGAAGAGCAGAGGCATGTAAGTTCAATAACTAACTAAGTAATAGTTCTAATAGCCAATGTGGTGTGATCACTAGAGTGCCAAACTAAAACGTGGGAGGCCAAGGTTCGAATCCCCATTCAGCCATGAAGCTCACTGGGTGACCTTTGGCCAATCGCCGCTTCTCTGCCTACCTCACAGGGTTGTTGTGAGGATGGAAATGGGGGGGGTGTGCTTTAAAGCATCCATGATTAAATGGGCGCAAGATATTGGGGAAAATATTATGTTTGAACAATGGGAAAAATTGTGGAAAGAAGATATGAAATTCACTATGTGTTATAAATTGAAAGAAAATTACCTCAAAATACAACATAGATGGTATTTAACACCTGAAAGAATAGCAAAAATGAATAAAAATTGTAGCGATGTCTGCTGTCGATCAACACTGGACAAGGTGTTATTTTTGTTTAGTCGTTTAGTCGTGTCCGACTCTTCGTGACCCCATGGACCAGAGCACGCCAGGCACTCCTGTTTTCCACTGCCTCGCAGTTTGGTCAGACTCATGTTTGTAGCTTCGAGAACACTGTCCAACCATCTTGTCCTCTGTCGTCCCCTTCTCCTTGTGCCCTCAATCTTTCCCAACATCAGGGTCTTTTCCAGGGAGTCTTCTCTTCTCATGAGGTGGCCAAAGTATTGGAGCCTCAGCTTCACGATCTATCCTTCCAGTGAGCACTCAGGGCTAATTTCCTTAAGAATGGATGCGTTTGATCTTCTTGCAGTCCATGGGACTCTCAAGAGTCTCCTCCAGCACCATAATTCAAAAGCATCAATTCTTCAGCGATCAGCCTTCTTGATGGTCCAGCTCTCACTTCCATACATCACTACTGGGAAAACCATGGTTTTAACTATACGGACCTTTGTTGGCAAGGTGATGTCTCTGCTTTTTAAGATGCTGTCTAGGTTTGCCATTGCCTTTCTCCCAAGGAACAGGCATCTTTTAATTTCGTGACTGCTGTCACCATCTGCAGTGATCATGGAGCCCAAGAAAGTAAAATCTCTCACTGCCTCCATTTCTGGAAAAGGTACTATGATGCATATATGGTGGAATTGTTTAAACATCAAACAATTTTGGGAAACAATATATAACGAAATGAAAAAAATGTTCAGATATTCATTTAGGAAAACACCAGAAGGTTTTCTATTGGGAATAGTACCAGGAAGTCTAAAGGAACAAGACAAGATGTTATATTTATACGCAACAGTAGCTGCAAGGCTATTTGAAAAGTGGTCGTATTCTGACAAATTATACCGACTAATTGGAAAAGTGGTATTATACCGACCAAAATAGAGTGGCTTGCCAAATTATTGGAGTATTACAATATATCCAAAACAATGGGAGAAATTGGAAGGGTCTCAAAAGAGAAGATAGACAGGGACTGGAAAGTATTTAAAGGACACTTGCAAAACCATATTGAAAAATCAGAACTATTAGAATAAGCAAGTTCCATTTTAAATACTGAAATACTAAATAAAATGGATAATAATAAAAGATGGGATGTAATAATGTGATACATAAATGGAGAAATGTGATTCCTCCCCTCTTCCTAGCAACAACAAGCCACTAGATTTCTGTGCTATTCCAGGCCTGGCCTCAGCCGCTGTGGCACAGCCCTGATGCTTGCAAGACTCTTGCAAATAGGATGATAGATTCCTTTCCCCAGAGACCTCAGAATCTCTCCGCTGGTTTTATAGGGAAGGGGCGAAGCGGCTTCCCTCCTGTCTCTTGGCAGGACATCTGCCCCCATACAGAGCGAGCCTCCTCAGTCTCCTCTGCGACTCTGCCTGAAACCGTTTGTATATTTTCCTACAGAAAGGTCAACCTGCTGTGCAGCGCAAGTGGAGGCCGGCCAATGAGCAGCAGCAGGAGAAACCAGCGCAGGAAACAATCCCTCTCACTTGACATCAAACTATGGGTAGGAGTTGGGAGCCAACATTTCAAAACACCGTCCTCCCCTTCATAAGCATCAAGACACAACATTGATTGAACCACAACTCCCATCTTCACTGGGCAATGGCTGTGCTTGCTGGGGCCGGTGGGATAAGATAAGATAAGAAGATAAGATAAGATGATAAGATAAGATAAGATAAGATAAGATAAGATAAGATAAGATAAGATAAGATAAGATAAGATAAGATAAGATAAGATAAGATAAGATAAGATAAGATAAGATAAGATAAGATAAGATAAGATAAGATAAGATAAACTTTATTCGCATTGGCCAACGGCCATGGCAACATAATACAAGCAATATATACAAATAAAAAGACAACAATGGGTAAAAAGGGCAATCAAATGACCAAGATTATTGCTCAGATGGTGGCCCTTAATCTCATTGCACCCTCGATAAACCTAGCAACCTTTGCTGTTGTCTGATCATTTCGATCTGATGAAAGAAAGAACAATGTGGCCGCAGATGGGCGGCTTGGGATGGTAAGTAAGAATGGGGTAATGTGGGGCCAGTGGGAGTTGTAGTTCAGCATCCTTTGGAGGGCTGGAGGTTCCCCCTCTCCCTTATCTGGACCAAGGATGAGGAGCCAGTGTTGCTGGGACTCCCAACTCCCATCAGCCCCAATGGTTCAGAGATTATGGGTCTTGTAGATTCCTCTCCCTGTGATTCCCCACTCAGGCAGCGATAAGGCACCAGGCATGGGTTAGCGGCAGGAGCAGGAAAGAGGAGGTGTCTTCCTCCTGGTCGATGGCCTCGCCTGCTTCCCCACAAAAGCCGCAAGCCTTGTACGGAGAAAGGCCTGTGTTTTCGAGAGAGCCATCTGGGGTTTGGCCTGGAGGAGCAAAATCTCATTATGGGAGAGAACAGGGCAGAAAGCAGCCAATTGATTAGCAAGCTGTTATCTGATGGGACGATCGGCCCAGGACAGACCTTGACAAGGACCAGTCTCCACATTGCACCCTTCCCTGTGAAGTTGGCTGTGCAACGGGGGAAGCTGCCTTCCGTCCAGTCCATCTGTTTTTCAAGCCCAGTAAAGACAATGGCTCTTCGTCAGCCCCAACCAGCACAGCCAGCGGTCAAACATGATGGGAGTTGGAGTCCAAAATTATACAGAACAGGGATGCTTAACCTGTGCTCCATGCATGGGATTCATCAGGGTGGTCCATCAACTAGGGGCAAAAAGGTGTTGCCCCCACCCACACAATGCAGTAAAGTAAATTGTATGCAACGTTTCATGTGTAGGTGTGGATTTTTCTGGGAGGGCGGTCCATAGCTTCTACCAGATCTTCAAAGGGGAGTCTGTAACCTTTGAAAGCCACTGATTTAGAGGGTCACTAATCTCCTGTTCCTGGAGCATTGGGAATGGGCCATTACTCAGAGGCAGAGGATGCAAAAGCCTGTTCAGTTCAATCACATGGATCAGCCGGTAGGGCATGAGACTCTTCAAATCAGAGTCGTGGGTCCAAGTCCCACGTTGGGCAAAAGATTCCTGTATTGCAAGGGCTGGATGACCCTTGTGGTTCCTTTCAACTCTAAAATGCCATGATTCTATTATACTAATCCCCAGCATCTCCAGGCCTAGGAAAGATACCTGCCCCAAATCTTAGAGAGTTGCTGCCAGCCAGAGTGGACGGTATCTTCCTAAGATGCAGCACATTCCCTGTTAAAAGTATCAACATGTTGCAGCATGGAGCGCTCCAGCGAGGTCTTTCCCAAACTGTGGTCCGCAGACCACCAGTGGTTCAAAAACTTCATTCAGCTGTTCCGTGGTGAGCCTTTGGATTTGTGGCTGAAGACAAGGAGAGGGCACATCCATTGCATTCATCATTCATATTGGTTTTTAATAGTGTTTTTAGTGCTTCTTTTATTATCTATTGCATTGTGTTGTATTGCAATCCAAACGGCACAGAATTCAAATCGCAATGCGATAAAATGAAATAAGGAACACAGTGCATTACAATTGCACCAAAAGGGGGGAAATTTAATCATGGAATGGTCTACCAAGACTACCAGCAATTTCCATGTGGTCCATGGGGGGTGGGGTTAGGGAACCACTGCTCCAGGGTTTCAGTTTGCCAGCCATGCCATCTTTTGGGATTCTCCATCCCATTGCCCCTCGCTCAGTTTTTCATTCCACCCCCCTCCCCACCAAAAATACACCCAGACAGCATTGCATGCCTACTGAGCACCCTCAGTCCTCACTGGAATGATAGAAAAGGGTGGTGGGCTATTCCCCCCCCCCAAAAGAAAACAATTTGTAAACTGTTTGATCAAAACAATTCTCCAAGCAGTGTACAAGTTCACTCACCCTTCCTTCATGAGGTTTTATCCCCTCCTTAAATCTTTTTGTACTACTTCAACACTTGGGTTCTCTCCCCTCACCCTCAAGACTTCGGACACCTCCATCTTGTGCATGAATGAGACTAGGCTTGTTCACGCATTATTACCCTGAACACAGGTACAAGCTGTCCGTACACATGCATGTATAAGTGTTTGTGTGAAATAATGAATGCTTGTCTGTCTGTACAGCTCAAGTATCATGTATGCAGGTACACAGGGTTGTATTTGTTGTTGTTTAGTCATTTAGTCGTGTCCGACTCTTTGTGACCCCATGGACCAGAGCACGCCAGGCACTCCTGTCTCCCACTGCCTCCCTCAGTTTGGTCAAACTCATGCTGGTAGCTTCGAGAACACTGTCCAACCATCTTGTCCTCTGTCGTCCCCTTCTCCTTGTGCCCTCCATCTTTCCCAACATCAGGGTCTTTTCCAGGGAGTCTTCTCTTCTCATGAGGTGGCCAAAGTATTGGAGCCTCAGCTTCAGGATCTGTCCTTCCAGTGAGCACTCAGGACTGATTTCCTTCAGAATGTAGAGGTTTGATATTCTTGCAGTCCATGGGACTCTCAAGAGTCTCCTCCAGCACCATAATTCAAAAGCATCAATTCTTCAGCGATCAGCCTTCTTTATGGTCCAGCTCTCACTTCCATACATCACTACTGGGAAAACCATAGCTTTCACTATATGGACCTTTGTCGGCAAGGTGATGTCTCTGCTACAGGATTGTATACTTTGTATAAAGTTCCTTAGGAATAACTTACGTGCGTGCAGCTCAACTACTTCTGTACACAGGTACACAGATGGTACAGTTGCTTAATGTAGGGTTGCCGTATTTCAAAAAGTGAAAATCCAGACACAAAT